GACACCAACCTCTGCGCCATCCACGCCAAACGCGTCACCATCATGCCGAAGGACATCCAGCTGGCCCGCCGGATCCGCGGAGAGCGCGCCTAAGCGACCGAAGACTGCCCTCACAAACTGTATTTGCTTTTAATCATTAAACCCCCGTCACCTCATTCCGTTTTTAAATTCGCCACCCCCCTTTGAATTATTTACCGAAACGGCTCCCCTTTTTTCATGTTTTCACCTTTCTATTTTCAACCATCCCCTATCCGCTGGCCAACCCCGAACAACGCCAAAAGGTTGTATTAAATGTGTACATTCTCTCTGCGCCTAGGGGCAATAAATTTCATGAAGACAAGAAGTTTATACAGCTATCGCATTATATGGGAATACAAATCCATTGTATGGATATGCAGAAAATGCAAGATATTGATAGTCTTCGTTGAGCTTTGTGGGTTTGACATTTAGAACGATGCATATTCTTCAAGTAGGAGGATATTTTTTACAATCACAGCAATAAAGTCCGAACTATAGTAATCCATAGAAGTATTGGCTTTGAGACTTAGATTTTTCGAGTCTTTAAAAGCATTGTAGGATTATGAAAATTGTGCAACAAGAAATTGAGACGAATAACGTATAGGTGTTTCGATGTTTCGAAGACCTAGAAGGCATTGCATGTAAGACGCAATATAACGGTTCCACGGATCGGACGTAGAAGCGTCTCCTCAATGTGAAGACGTGCAGCCTAAATAATCGTTTTAGAAGGTTTCTCATTAATGTTTCATTTAGAACGTCTGCATTTTCCGCAATTTTTGCAAAATGCAAGGCTTGGAAGGTATTTACGGGTTCATAAACGCTAAGCTCATATCTCCAACTTGCTAAAAATCGTGGCGAAGGTAGCGAAAAGAAGCGAAAAAACCTAGGAAAACTGATAAAGCGGCCTGTTAAAGCTATTCAAAAACATCGACTAAAATTTTTGTGATAAATTTGGATAATTTCGCTATAAAATTTGGCTTTTCCACGGTTCGTAACACTAAAGGGTTTTCAATCAAAAAGTAAATTCGTAAGAGAGCCAGGCATAAATTCTGCAAAATTACCGCCTTTTTGCAAATTTCAAAACATGTACAGGGTACGATTTTGCTCGGGAAGAAACCTGCCTACCTAAAAGCAAGCCCAACAGATTCTGTTGAGTTTCCAGGGACAGGTTGCCGACGAAACCCGCGTACCAGGCCTGCATCTGCTGGGGGTCGCGAGAAAGCCCTGGTGGGGCCAAAAATCGAATCTTTTGTATGAGCTCCTGCACAAAGATTTGCCGAGGCTGTTGTAGTGGCAGTCCTGCATAGCTGCCTTGAGCAAGCATCTGGACTGGCTGTTGCGGCTGCTGCCCGACCGGTTGAGGGACGACGGGACCATGCGGCGCAGGTAGTTGCTGGACTTGATGAGCTTGTACAGCGACTCGGGCAAGCTCAGGAACGGGAGGTGGCGCCTCGTCCTCGTCGTCCTCCAGCCCGTTCACCCGTGGTGAGGGGTGGACGGCTGGGTCCCGGGCTTCTAAACTCGGAGATGGGAAAAATGTTGTCTAAATTTTGCCTACCTAATACGTAAAATTAAGCTAATATAGAGCGGAATTTACTTTTTTGAGGAAAAAACTTACGAGGACCCGGACGTTGCCTCACTGACGTCCCGGCCGATATGTCCTAAATGGTAATCAATTGAAACTGTTATGTACGTTGTCATTCCATGTAATAAAAACTAGTATCTTCGAAAAAGGAGTATTGAATTTGGCACTAGCCTAAGGCTCAAAAATTTTTTTAACAAAATTCATACAAAAAAAAAACACGCGCTACCTCTGGCGGACCGGGGGCAAGTGGTGGGTATGTTAGTCGAGTGTTTGTACTCATGTCGACGGTCTAAACGAAAATGTTATAAATACTTGTATATGACTGACTACTACTACATACATGCAGGTGCCCTAATGAAAAACACCCACCTCTAACTCGACCCCGAAATAGAGAATCGGAGTGATAGTTACACCATTCGAAAGCCCTTGAAACGGCGAGTTTGCGACAGTTTTGTAAACCATGTTTTTAATTAAGCCCGCTATTTTACGGCACTTAGTAAAGCCCGAGCTGGGGGAGCCCAGGGAGCCGAAGAAATTTTGCAGTGTGAGCTCAGAAACGCCTTAAATCGTATTAAATATTGTAGTAAGATACTAAGAATAGTTCAAAATTAAGGTTAATGATACTTTAATATACCTCACGAAGCTCCCGGCCCCTGGGCTCCTTCAGCTCGAGCCTTACTAAATGTCCTATTTTACAAGACATTTTGTACAATTTTCCGGATTTTCGGGCTTGCATACGAGCCAATTTGCCTCGATTTCTCCAGCCAAAATGCCCGGAAGTAACCGTTAATTAGATTCAGAGGCCGTTCCTTAATGCCTATCAATGCGTTGTAAAATGGTGCGTTTAAATAAAAACATGGTTTTCAAAACTTGCAAATTCGCCGTTTCAAGGGCTTTCGAATTGTGTAACTATCGTTCCGATCCGATACTTCGGGGTCGAGTTAGAGGGGAGTGTTTTTTATCGGACATTCTGTATACTTATGACATCACTAACCTCAGACTGCGCCTGCACTCCCATCGATTGCACCATGACGGGCTAAAATGAAGCGTGTAAAAAAGGAAAAAAAAGGAAACTTAGGCGATTAGTACCTACAATTAGTTAGCTTAAATTATGAATAACTTAACCTAGTTATGCACTGCGGTATCCAAAGCAAGAATTAATAAGCCGTCAGCTTAAAAAGGATCCGAAACCCACCTGAACTGCTGTCACCGTCCCTTCAGCCACCTGTTTCTGGGCATCGATCTCAGCTCGTACGTCTGCGCTTCGAAGTCCAGGTACGTCAACGTCCATCACATGCACATCAACTATCGATGCTCCGTCGGGCTGTGCGGGGCTTGCGACCTCGTCCCTCGTCTTCACCGTGTCTTCCACGCCCGTGCTCGATTGTGAGTTCTTCGGTTCTTGATGAGGAACGGCAGCTAGTCGACTTGGCATCGGGACCAAAACCAAGGCTCGAGGTGGAAGAGGTGGTGTGGCCGGTTCCTTGTAATTGATCTCTTTAGATGGCCGGAGTCCCTCCCTCGACTGCCTTCGGCGGATCAAGTCCTGAATCGGCTTCGGTCTGGGCTTCGTCTTCTTCTTCGGGCTGACCGTCGCAGAGTTGTCGGAAAAGCGGAGTAGCTCGGCGGGGATTCGGAGCAGGATTTTTTTGGGGGCCGGATTTTCTGTCGTGCCGCTGGATTCTGCCGGACCAATCGCCACATCGGCTTCTCCATGGGTTTTAGAAAATCCTCTGCCCTTGCCGAAGACGTGTGCCGCATCTTGATGCGCCTCCTGACGTGGCCCAGTTTGTCCTGCGTTTTCTCCTTGCTGCCCCTCTCCATCATCGTCTTTATCACAGTGAGCACCTTCATCGTCTCCATCCGGATTTTCCTCATCCCATCCGACGCCATCTTCAAGCTGTTCAGCCTCGTCCGCCATGTCCGCCGATCCTGTCGAGCCAGTCAGGCTCGGAGAGGTAGACTCTCCCTCCAGGGTCAGGCTATCGACGCTTGGTTTTCGGAGCCCAACAGCTTCAACAAGTTCAAGGTTCGGCGGCCGAAGGGCGCGAGCTTGTGTTCGATCGCCTTGTGCTCGATGCTCCTGTTCTTGATCAGCTCCAAAAAGCTCGTCATCTGTAGATGTTCCGCGTTTACGGCGTCTGCAACACCCTGGCATTGCTTCGCCTTCTACTCCTTGAACGGCCCCTGTTTGGTCTCCTGCGTCTTCAGCAATTTCAGGGGATAGCCGAGCTCTTTTTGATTGTGGGCCAGCGACGTCATCACCTTGAGTTTGCTGTTGATGACGAGTGCATCGTTCTGCGGCTTGAACTTGAGCACCAGCTTGAGCTTCTCCGGATTGGCGTGAAGTGCTCGGGCCGGCATCGCGACCTGATCTTCTAGCTCGAACGCTGTGTCCGGTTGGAACCCCTTGAACTCCTCGTTCTCCTTGCGAATCTTTTGAGGCAGACCCTGCGCTCGTAGGCGTTTTGCTCTGGCGTAACCTTCTCGCCGGCGTGGCTCCAACGCTCCGCCCTCGTTGTACATTTTGAGCTGCTCGTACCCCTTTGATCACTTGAGAGGCCGATCTCGCGCCCAGGATCTTCTTGCTCTGTCGCCGACGCTCACGTCGCTCTTCACGTTGCTGATTTTTCCGTTTGATATCCTTCTCGACAGCAATTGCCGCTTGGCGCGCCTTCTCCTCAGCTGCGAGTTTGATTTTCTCCAAATTCAGCTTGACTTGCCGCTCCTGTTCAAGTCGTTCAGCCTTTTGCTGCTCTTCGCGGAATCGTGCGGCTTGGCATTGCTCCGAGGTAGACTTGCGGCGTTGCTCGAGGCGCACCTCCTCGATTTCGGCTTCAATTCTGATCCTACGTTGCGCAGGTGTCTCGCCGGGATGTTCATCAACATCTTGGCGTGGAGCTTTGGCGACATCAGGCGGAGCGCGTTCGGCAACGAGTTCAAGCCGCGCAGGAGTAGACGTGCCGGACTTCTCGTATCTCTCCAGACGACGCTGAAATGTATATATTTTGAGCAGTGGAAGTGCAAAAACCTGATGTCTGGTAGGGGTTTCCGGAAGATGATCATCGCCGGCATTATCGTATTTACGCTTGGCGTGATCTTCATTTTTGGGTAGATGATCAGCGACGTTACGCAACTGAAAAATAGAGAAAAGGTTTTTTTGCGAGGGTCTCTTACGGTAATTGCAGCTGGCTGAGTGTTTTCAGGTGGGGTTTGAGCAGCAATGCAAAGTGCATTTTGGCTCTAAACGTTGGAAGAAGCTGCTTGAATTTTAATCCATACCTGGATACCACATCCCTCCGCAAAGCTTTTGCGTCTTTGATCTAGCCGTAACTTCACGAAGGGCTTCGGCTCTTCTGGAGCAGAAAGCTAGAAGAAGGGGTTTTTGTTAGCATTAAATATCCACCTCGTCCTCCAGCGTCTGAATTTCCACAGCTTCCTCCTGCTCGGCCTCGTCGTGCCCCTAGGATTTGGATAAATAGAGCTATTTTTCATGAATTCCAACCACTCCGCTTGAAGTCTTCTGGTCCTTTGGCTCGTGCTTCAGCTTTGCAACAAGCTGCCAGTGTCCACGAGAACGTCGCTGTAGCACAGGGGCCTCCTGGAAATCAAGGCCATAGGGGAAACCTAAGCGGAGCCAACAGTCAAGCTAAGCCTGAATCCGGGCCTAAGCCTAAGCCAAACCTAAGCCGGAACCTAATCCTAGGGAAAAGCCTAAGCACAAGCGTAATCCTGAATTTAGTGGCCAACCTGTTGCCGGGAGGATTGAAGATTGAATGAAGAAGAATCAGACGGTTCGGTGAAGTTGCAAAATAGTGCGGTCAATTCAGCTTTTGTATGGTCATCGGGTTGTTGCCTGTAGTCAGCAGTGTCGGCATCAGAGCGATCTTCCGCTGCCACATCATCATGTTCACCTCCGGCGACCTTTGCGGCGTGTTCTTGTTCCTCGCAGTCATGATCATCGCCATGCTGTAAAGTATTTTTATCTAGGCTTTGGGCTCGGCACACCTGCTCCTCTTGCTCCTGATTCATTGCGTCCAGGGCAGGGGCAGCACGGGCAAGCTGGGTGCCTTCCTAAAATTCGAATATTTTTTGGAAATGACGAGGTTTTAGGAACCCAAGCCAAGCATGGTAACCCTATACTGACCTCGTTCTCGATGTCGGGAACTATCGGTATATTCGTGCTCATCGAATGGGTCGAATCGTCCATCTGGTGATCCTTCTCGACGGCCTGGACCTCATCAACGATCCCGACTTCGTGCTCTTCCTAAAGATAAACTATTCAATAGATCAGGTTGAAAATGATTTTTGAATCTACAGGGTGTGCAAAAAAAAAAGCCCACAGTTTGCACCAAAATATCTCGCTTATAGTAGAGAATCGAAGGTACGTTACCATGCCAGAATGCTTAAATATGCTGGGCATGAAGATTTAACACAACTTGATTTTTTCGATTTTTGAGTACGAAACTGTACTATTGACGCTGGTTACGACCGAAAATTGTGCGTTCTTGAACGGGAAGTGGGAAAATTCTGATTTTTGGCCTAAAAATAGTATAAATTTGTAGAAAGGTAATGGCAAAATCTTAGAATTTATCGAGGTCAATTTCATTTTTTAAAAGCAAAACAATTTTCGCGATATTGCGTTATTTTTGTTCTTTGAGGGATAACTCGCTTCTAACAGACTACTCATGGCTGATATTTTGTCAACGACATATCCAAATATTAATCTCGGATTCCACACCAGATTCCACCACCATCTATGGTATTTTTGTATTGCTTGCTAAAACGTGCCCCAGTGGGGGTACTGTAGGTTTCGTTTTTACCGCTTTTCTCGGGACCCCTAGCTTCGATCCGGCTGAAATTTTCTGGGTTGTTAGGCAATAAGTAGTGGCACCTTGCTGCCAAATACGAGAGCGTACTATCCACAAACTTTCATGAAAAAGACTAAAAACTGATTTTGTAATTCTGCCACAGAATCTTGTAAATTTTTTGGTCAGTTGGTCCATAAACCGCTTCTATTGGTTTTACAAAAAGATCGAAGCGATTCCATGGCAAAAACCCCACGAAAATCGCAAATTTCGGTTTTCTACAGTAACCCACGTGGAGCGCGTTTTAGCATGCCATCACAAAATTCCATAAAGTGACGATTTTTCTATTCGAGGGCCTTCTAGAGGTGATTGTAAGATAACCTGTCAAAAATGACTGATTTTGGGTGGTAAATAACAAAGTTACGAGGCCAAGTGCAAAACAAGGCCAGAAGGCCGATTTTTGGTCCGAGTAGCCGGGGTCAATTTTCGAATTTTTCAAAATAGAAAAACCAGCTGGGTCCTATGCATACGATTATAGCTTTGATGTTATTATCTATGCCCGTAAAATTTGGGGGCAATCTGATTCATGATTATGGTGACTTTCAGCTCAAAATCGAAGATCACCCTATTCCAAAATCGAAGTTTAGAAATCTTTTTAAAATTCTTGCGACGCGAAATTGCTTTAATCTTTGCACAGTTTTATTTAACTAATGGCACTGAATTATTGCTTAAAATATCCCTACGACTCCACCTTCCAAAATTTTTTTACGCATCCTCCAAATCGGTTTATTTCGAGTTTTGATGAATTTTCTTGGCGCCAACGGCTGGTTAAAAAAATTCATGAGTGAGGCTTTAGGATGCGCTATTCAACCGGTATCAGATAAAAATAAAACGATAATTTTCACAGCGCGACTAAATTTTATAAAATGGTGGCAAGGTTCGGAAAAAAGCACGAACCAACCGTTTTGGAGGTCGTAAAAGACGCCCCTCTAAAGGAGTACGGTAGCTCGAAATTTTGTAGATGATAGAGCAACACCCAGTACTACATAGTTAAGCAAAGAAAATAGCTGAGTCCCCTTTGGCAATTTAAAAATATTTTTCTAAAGTTCGGTTTCGTGACCTCGAAAATATCCATGACCAGGGGGTCGTTGAAAAACTCAAAAATTCATCGATCTCAAAAAATTCTTTAATATGTTTATGCGATTGTGTTTAGCCCGTAGGTATTCCACAACAACTGATTTTGAGGTTTTCGCCATAGGTTTTTCCAACATTAAAAATTTACGAAATTTCTCCATACAAAATTTCATTCCTCTCTAACTTTTCAACCAGACCCTCAAAAATTCTTAAATTTCGTAGTTACATATCTGCTGCCTATATTAACTTATTTAATAAAAATTAGATGCCAACCACCACAGGAAACTGAGAAAAATACAAATGAATTTTCCCCGAACGCACAGTTTTCGGGTGTCATTTGTATTGATACGTCGCCAAAAATCGAAAAAATCAAGTTGTGTTAAATCTTCATGCCCAGCATATTTAAGCATTCTGGCATGGTAACGTACCTTCGATTCTCTACCGTTCGCGAGTTATTTCGACCCAAACTGTGGGCTTTTTTTTTGCACACCCTGTAAAGCTCTCTGAACCTACAGAAGAAACTGATAGAAGAAGCACGGGAGGACGATAATGTTCTGCAACTTCACAAGAGTCGGTTGAAGGCGAACTCAAAATTGGTGCTTCTGCAGTTTCTTCTTGCTCAAAGGTGCCATTTCCATTCATATCGCGGCTCGCTTTATCTGCTTCGAAAGCTTCGCCAATTTTTGCGAACGCGTCGACATCGTCTCTTTCAGTCTCATTTTCTTCAGTATTCTGAAAAATGAGGTGTGAAAGTACCATAGCAATGCACAAGAAAACCCGGGGTAAAAAAATTTTGCATACCATGTTGAGGTCCATGGAGGGCTCCTGTACTTCTTGGCCGGTCTCGGAAAGCGGCTCCTCAAGCCGAACATCAGCATCAAGAGCAGCAGTTTTTTCGTCGTCGACAGCGGCAGCCGTCACGATTTCAACAAGGCCCCTCATGTCAACGCAGTCATCATCAGTTGGTTGATCATCGCCGTCAAGCTGAAAATCAATTTCGAATTGAGATACAGAAGATGTTTTAGTTGGGAAAGAGAGCATACGCTACCTGTTCTGCATTTTTCGATAGCAGCTGGGTTTCCTGGCTCTTGGGGGCTGCCACTGGTTCGTCCTGCCGTCGACAATAATCGTGGTCGTAGCCAAGCTATAAAAGGTCATTTATCGAAGTTTCCGGTTTCAACACCTGCTCCTCTTGCTCCGGATTCCTTACGTCAGGAGGCAGGGCGGCAAAGGTAAGTGGTGGGACTTCCTTAAATTCGAATAAATTTTGAAATATCTCAAGCCAACCATCATAAGCCAACTGACCTCGTTTGCGATCCCCGTCAATCCTGGTAATTCCGCACTTTTCGAATGGGCTCCATCCTCCATCTGATCCTCCTCGATGGACTGAAGCGCGTCGGGCTCTTCCTAGAAATAAAGCGTTGAACAGGAAGGTCTTGACATAAAAATGCTGGCTGCTTAATTCTGGGCCATCTGGACCTACTGGAAATGCCGACAGATGCTGCACAGGAGGATCAGCATCTTCAGCATTCAAAACGGGCACATGTGCGGTTTCTTCTTGTTCAACGATGCCATCATTTCCATTCACATCGCAGCTTGCTTTGTCCGCTTCGAGGACTTCGTCGATTTTCGCAACCTCGGCGAAGTTGTGGCTTTCATTCTCGTTTTCTTCGGCATTCTAAAAGCAATGAATTGGGAAGGGAAACCTCAAGAAGTGGCGGGCTTCCGGGAAACCGGAGTCTGGAAAAATGGCGTACCATGTTCGGGTCCGTAGCCATCGGCTGTCCTTCTTGACCGGCCTGGCATCGCGGAACCTCAACCAGAACAAGGCCATCAAAATCCATCTTGGTCCCGTCGGCACCGTCCGTATTCACGCCACAAATTTGATTTATGACGTCCAAGCAGGCTTTTACAACTGCAAGCTCATCGGCGTCAGACTGGAAAGGATTTTGGAATTATGACACAAAAGGTATGTCATTTGGAAACGAATCATAAATCGAGGAGGCTCCATACCTGTTCTTCATTTTCCGGCTCCGGTTGAGAAGCTTGGCTTTGGGATAGCTTTGCCAGTTCGGGTTCCTCAAGTTCCTCCGTGGCATCGACAACCGGGTGTTGATCAATGTTAGGATCAGCTTCCTCGTCTGCTAGCTCAACATCGTCCTCAGCTGGATGAGCTGCTGCGGTTTCCGGAACCTCGACGAGATCACGAGGCTGATCCTATTAATCATATTTTCACTAGAATTGGAATATGCAAACCTCGTGCTCCAAGTCCTGCTCGCCCGGATCCTGGAGGGCAGGAGGCGACGCGGCGCACCAATCGACACCTAGCCATCCAGGCTAGAAAACGCTCAATTACGAATCTGAAAACTGGCATCAAACCTGCTGATTGGTTGGGGTTTCCGGGTCTTCGTCTCCAAAGTAGGAGAACAGTTGTTTCGGTTTCTGGGCATCCTGGTCGAGGTGTTGTTCACCAACCTGGAAAAATGGGGGCTGAGCTGGCGCTCCTTCCTAAAGTCGAAGCGCGAGCTTTGCATGATCTACGAACCTCGGAAGCAACGGCAGCTTTGTTCAGTTTTTGCATTTGGAAGTTGCGAGCCTGGTGAGCCGGAGGCTCAGGAGCAAGACGCTAAAAGTTCATATAAATAAGCTCAGAGAGACCATTTTTCTTTAGATGTCGCGCTACCTCTAAAACGAAAAAACTCACTTCGCGCATCATCTTCTCCAATCGTGTAGAGCAATGACGAACGCATTCATCGAGTAATGCATCCATATCGATTTGGCCAGGATCGTTGGGTCTCTAAATTTTGAGCATGATCTTGATTCTCTCCTTCTATCTCGATCTCACTAGACGACTCTCTTTCTCTCTACTTACAGCTCCAAGATCCCCAACCCTTTTGCTACAGCTCAACCTCCCGAAAACGCTTATATCGTCCATCTAACAGCACTTACCGCCCCCGTCGCATAGACCAGCTTGGCGACGTGCGCCCGGACCATCTCTTCGATGTCGCCTCTATCGCCAGAGGACTAGATATTCAGAAAATCATCCTATTAAGAAAATGGTCAAACCAGGGGTTGTTTGTGCATATGTTGGTCTACGGCTTCGCCTTCAGCTTGGACTTGTTCAGCTTCTCCGGCAGGCTGAAATTTATCCATCCCCGCAATCAGAATTTTTGGAAGGTCGGTTTTCTTCAATTGAGAATTACCTCCGTCAGCAGCTTCTTCTTGCGTTGATATTTTCCTCTCCCGAGTTTGATCCTTGTCGAGGTCATTTCAGAAGTGGTCGGAGTAGCAAGCTGAAATTTCGTATCACCCCTCTCCAAACAAACGTAAAAAAACTCTAGTTTCATATAAGCGGAATTACTGCACCTGAATGCGGCTAGAAGTTGGCTGCTGAACTCGTTGAACTTCTTGGGCGCCTTGCTCTTCTTGGGCATCGTCAGCACCATGTCTACTGCCAGCAGGAGGCTGTAGTTTGCATTGGACCTTTTTTTAAGGCTACCACTTACCCCAACTTCTTGCTTGGCTTTGCGAGGCAATACGGCACGCAGCGGCTTGGCTTGAAATCCTGGCTTCAGGTTTCGCCGCCCCTTTCTAGGTCCATACTTCCGGCACAGCGGCGAAGGGACTTTGCAGATCTTTCCAGACCTCGTTGTCAGTCCCTAAATTTTTGAATGAATACAGCGTACCAAGATAGACGGCATAAGCTAATTGGTCGATTAGAAAATCGCTAAGGCTTAAACTTCTAATGCTAAAAAGATGTTTATACATTAAAAAAATTAGCCCACGCAATTAAAATTTTTACGTACCTCGGTCATTTTCTTAATCCTGGGCTTGAACTTTTGTCTTCGGGCCACTTTTACTTTTCGTGCTGCAAAGTTAGCTCCCGTTGTAGATGCCTAAATTTTTTTAAAGGGACTGTGACAGGTAGTAGATGATCAATCACCTCAGCAGGTTCTTCAACGTTAACTGGTTCGACTTGTTCAGCGGCCACCGTCTCATCGGCTTCATGCTGAATCTGAGGCTGTAATTTTTCAATTATTCAGATCAGCCATAAGCTACCTCGACCTCGCTGAGCTTGAGCTTCTTCTTCCTCGGGTTGTTTGCCGGCTTCAGTGTCCTCTTCCGGATTACCTTCTTTTGAGGAAAAGCCCCAGGCGTTGGTGCCTAAATTGCCAAGGGCAATTGGCATGGAGGGCTGCAAATCCGGCAAAACCCAACCCCAAATTCCAAAACCCAACCCGAAAACCCAAAACCCAGAACCAACACCCAAAATCAACTCACATCCAAAGCTGCCTGCAACGGTTCAATGCTTCCAGCGCGAGTCGCTAGTGGCACTTCTCCAGCTTCAACCTAAAAAAATTTCAAACATTTATTTTTTACTCTAAATTGAAATAGGTAAATAAAAAAATCTTTGAATAACTGTTTGGAAACTACCTTTCCGAACTTCGGCTTCCGTATGTACTTCCCACGCTTGCATCGTTTCTTAACAAGTGACGTCGCCTTGAAAACAGTCTCCGGCCTCGAAGCCTGCAATTGCATTAAAGGGAGAATAACAAGAGGGATTTACCTGATCTTCTCCTTGTAGCTGTTGAACATCCTCAGCTTGACCCGCCATGGAGATCTGTTCATCTCCGGCGACCTGAAAAGCTCCGAACGATTGAAAGCTATCGAGAAGCGATATTAGCTTGTTTCTATGTATCAAGAATTAGTCTTAATTACAGCGAATTTTTGGTTATCCACAACGACTTGAGGCCTGGGCTTGGGCTTTGGCCCCGGCTTCGCCCGTCTGAATTTGCGCTGCTCCAGCGGGTACTTCCTCCTCTTTGGCGGTTTGCGCTGGCCCTAAAATCGTAGACTTAGCTTAGGCTTAGGCTTCGCGAACTCTTTTTTTGGAAAGCGTCACGACTCGAATGAAAAAACGTGTTACCTCAAGATCTGCATCGTGTCCAGCAACGGGAACTTCGGCATGGGCATTAGGGTTTTGCGGGTCCTAAAGAAGGCTTTTGATGTTGCGCTTTTCTCTTTATCTGGCTGATCATAATTTTTTAATGTTTTTGTTGTCGGAGCAAAAATTGCAAGCTTCAAGCTAGCGCACCTCGTCCTCCGGCCGTTGCTCTACCATTTCTTGGCCCTTCTCTGCTTGTTCGCCGATTTCTACGGCTTCAGGAACCATCTCGGCCACTCCGGCGACGAGTTTTGACCTGGGTCGCCGAGGCCTAAAAATTGACCTTGTTAAAGCGACAGCAATATCTCTCTCGCTCCCTCTCCCACTCACGCTCACTCAATCTCCCCCTCTCTCCCTCTCTCTCTCTCTCTCTCTCTCTCTCTCTCTCTGTCTCTCTCTGTCTCTCCCTGTCTATCTCTCGCTAGCCTCTCTCTCTCTCGCTCCTCGCTCCCATGTCTTTGCCTATAGTCACCTCGGTTTTCCGGTAGTTTTCTCATCCTCGGAGAGGTCGTTCATTTCGAAGTCGTGAAGCTTCCGGGGTAGCTGTCTGATCCTGGCTGGCTTGCGCGGAGCTGCCTCCAGCCCAACATCTTCCATCCGTTTTTGCTTCAATTTCTCGTGTTCGTGCTGCTCGATCTCCGGCTGCTGAGCCTCTGCCTCCTGGGCTCCTGGCTGCGCGTGGAGCATTTTCAGGTGGTCTGAAAGGACTGCTTTTAATTCTACGATTATCGTTGCTTATTTCAGTATCAAGAAGCAAAACGGTAGTGGAAAAATTTCCGTTTGGGCAAAAGCCACCTCGCTACAAAACAGGACCACGATCATGCTGCTAAATTATTCACATGAGTTGAATCGCTCGCCCTGGCCTAGGGCCCAGGCATGGGAAAATTACCAGCGAATGATATGCAAATTTGGCAAAACGCATCGGGTACTCCTTGTGGAGGAGCAGGGGCTTGGGTAAAGGGGAACTAGGGAGGAACCGTCGAAAAATGTGACTTTAGGGCGTAAACCTTGTGCCATAAAACGAGCAAGCGTTGCTGTCTGGGCTATTGAGTTATGTGCTACTGTAGCATAACTGGAGGTAGCTTTAAGGGTCTCTGACACTTAACGCTGACGCTGCTCTCCCTTTATTGGCTGATGCCCAGCTTTTCTATTGCATTAGCAAAATAACTTTACAAGCGTCTGGCTTGGGAATCGTTTTTGGACGGTTCCAAAAACATGTAATTTTTTCTTTCTGCGTTTTATTCTCACATTTTTTTCTGGTCTCTTTCGTGAAAGCCAGTTGGGTATCGGGCCTGGGGTTCAGGGAAATTAATGGGGGCCCCCACGCCCGGCGAAGTCAGTGAGGAGACTACAGTACGCGGCTGGGTGACTCAGCGGATCGATCGATTTCGACTAACATGGTGGTCCCGACTAGAATCAGGCTTCGGCTGTTGAAATACAACAAAAGCAGATCGATTGAAGATCAGGTGAAACTAAGGTTATTCTACGTTGCACTATGTTCCGAGTAGGCTTCCGGGGGTATTTACATAGCTCAGGCTTAACATATCTTTAAGTGTCTAGACTACAAACTACAACTGCGTCTGGAATTGCATAAACATGCGCCAGGAGAATACCAAAGAGAGCCGGTGGCGTGATGGTGATTCTAATCGATCGAATCGGAAGGATAGACATATGACCACAACAGGTGGTTATAAACTCTACGCAAAAATTTATCTGGATGAGAGAAGTATCGAAGTGAAAGTGGAAGTGGAATTAAGGACGTTATCGTAGAAAGAATCTAGGAAAATAGGAAAGCTACGTTACGCAACTATTCACTTTATGTCACTACATACCGATACGTTACAAAATCTCCTGCCAATTGCCAGTATCTTCGAAGCATTAAACTTCGAGGAGAGCAAGCTATCAAAATTCGGAATTCAACTTGATGCCGTACACTATTGTACTATATACGCTTATTACACTACGGACTATCGACCACTTGGGAAAGCAAATCAATGAAAGAGACAGCTGCGGTAAATGAATGCGGTATCGTAGAGCATCGTGCTACGTTTCGCTACTATATATATGCTACGCTACGGTACTAGACGCGTGGTTAAGAAAATCGATAAGGGACTGAATAAGACAAGTAAGTGAATCTGAAAGCGAGCAGATACGATTCTAAAATCTACGAATGAGACCCTCGAGGCTAGAAGGGGCGGTCCTGATCCTAATCAACCAATCGTCGCCCGTTTTTCTGGCTGAATCACGGGGGTCAGAAGCGTCGGAAGACCCGCCCATCTAGTTCAGAAAATCAAAACGACGTCAAAGAGCCAGAGAACATGAATTTGCAAAAAAAACTGGAAAAAAAACTGAGAAATAGGCATCGGACGATACGAAATGAGTCATACTTTCTACGAGAAATTGACGAAATCTGTTTATTGAATATGTACATTTGCAGAAATACACTATAGTATGTAAAATGAAAAGTATTTTAGCTTGAATTGACTAAATAAGCAGCTAATGAGGCATGTAACGAACAAAGTTAACAAATACATATTGTTAGAACCTCAGCGAATGCTTTAATTATGGCTAGTAAAAATGTACCCACATAGTAAAATAGCAATAATAACAATAATAAGTATATTCAATATATTAAAATATAAGTTTAACCCTTAGCAGGGCACGTAGACATCAAAGTATCGCTTAAATACAGCATCAATATTTGCTTAAAAACATAGTAATACGACAATGACATGGGATAAAGGTATAATCTGTGCATTAAATATAACAAAATTACAAAAATATCTATTGTCCAGAAGAAGAACTTTGATCAAATCAATCCATAAGTAACATGAGGTATAGAGGGTTAAGATATTATTTAATAAAGCAAATATTCGGTCTGAAACAAATAATGAGCGAAATTCAGAAATCACATAAAACTCAGTAATAAATATTATATACATTAAAACCTGATTATGCTAATTTTCGATATATCACTATGAACCAGATTGCATTGCCGTTACGCTCCATTCAAAACTCAGGCGACGACGAGACGTCCATAGGAGACCGAGGTGGGGTACCAGGTGGAGTCCGAGCTCCGGAACCATCCAGGCTGTCGCACGGACTGAGCAGTGGGTCTTCAGGGGGTCGGAAATAGATCGACGGCGGCTAAACAATTTAATTGCTTTTGGATAGCGATCAAAAACCCAGATTCTGATATGGAAAATAAATTGAGCATGTTACCAAAAAAGCTACCGTATGCAGGACCCGATGCTCAAACGCGGCCCAGAGGTCTCGCGGATGGCGATGTTGCTTTGCACAACAGATGCAGCCGGTTTCTAAATAATTTGTTTTGATTTTCATCAAGCGGTCATAAACTTAATATTAGCAAAAAATTTACGGAGTGGGAATGCTAGAATTTGACCTTTCAGAACTTGAACGTCTTCATCCTCTTGTGATAGATTTAGATCGTCGTCTTCAATAGGTTCCAGAGGTTCGGCGGGGTCGTAGGCTGCAAAAATGGAGATTATATTCTCAACCCCTTTTCTCACTATTTCTCTGTTTCGCCCTTTCTCTCTCTCTCTCGCTCCCTCTCTCTCTCTCTCTCGCTCTCTTTCTCTCTCTCTTGCTCTCACTCGCTCTCACTCGCTCTCTCTGACGCAAGGTATCATCAGACTGCGCAACACAAAAGTTACCGTCAGAAGCCGAGGACTCCACCGAGTTCTCTCGTCGAACCGAATTCTCATCGCCTTGAAACGATTGACTAAATGCGGCCCATCCAGCGCTATCCGATTGAGCGGCTAGAGTTTGTTCAATTTCCTAAAAGCTTTGTGAGTGTTCTGTATATCAAAAGATCAATTACGTATCGCGTTCGAGCCGCAGCCAACAGACTTTCAAGCTGCCATTTCCTTTTCCGCTCCTGGTCCATGAGCTAAAAACATAAATCCTAATACTTTCAGGCATAAAATAATGTCAATTCCAATTCATAAATATTTTAATTAAATTAACTTTAAAGCCTAGAAAAATTACCCTGGATCTCATCTCCTCTTGTCCGTAGCGAAAAATCCATGCTCGGATTTTCGGAGTTGGGTGGAAAAAGCGGCAAAAATTTCGCCGACATCGGCCCTGCAGAAAGTATATATAATCTTTGATGGGGAATTCTTCTAGGCTTGTCGCTTCAAAATTAATTCTGGGCATACTTCGATGTGGTTTATCGAATCCTCTTTCACTATTTCTATACTTCTCGCTTTCTAGCTACCTCTCATCCACCCTCTTCTACCCTCTTTCTCTCACTTTCTCTCCCTCTCTTTCTCTCTCTCACTCTCTTTCTATCGCTCTCTCTCGCGTCTCTCTCTCTCTTTAAAAAACGCACCATCATGGCATCGAAACAGCTTCTCACTCGGTTGCCCGATATCCTAACCAACGGCGCTGGATGTGCCCAATCGCAATCTGGGTTCATACAACGTCCGGCGAGGTAGCCGGAGCAGACATAGACCTAGAAGGAGAAACTAGTGCTTTGAATAAGGCCACCCTGACGAACCACGGACATTTATACAACCAAAATCATTTGGAACGTACCAGTAGCCATCCCTTGTTGCGTTGCGTCGTCGGCTCCAAATTCGAGGTGATCGGGAGCATCGTGCTCCAGAAGAGGAGATTCCCCCCAGGACAACTGCAATAAATATTACAGAAAACCAGAGTTATCGTACAAGAATTTCGAATGACACGCAAACCCCAAAAAAAGAAGGATATCCACATTTTAGAAAATCCTGATTTTCGTGATGCAAGCTTTAGAAACTTTTATATATGGATGTTGGAAGGTAAGTTATCCCCAAGGCAGATTACGAAACCCCGACTTGCATAAATTAGCCGGAAAAAACTATGAATCATCATATTTTGTCGAAGAATGGAGGGTAGCCAGGGTTGCGTTTGTTTTGGTTCGTCGGGCCCCGGACGCCCGACAAGCCACGACTACGTTTAGCTATCGATGAAGATCTGGAAATATTTTAAGGGGGTTGAAAATAAATTGGAACGGAACGCAATTTTAATTTTGGCATTGACAAGCGTCATCTTAAATTACGCTACGCAACCTTACGATACGCACAAGAACCTAAAGTTACTTTGAGAGTCGATGCAATGTGACACTCCGCTTTGCTAAAACAGTAATTGAGAAAATTTGTAAAATAGATTGCTAGCAAAAACCGGAAAACGAGTAACATTGGCTGCCTATTGGAGGGCGGAGTCTAAACCGCAACCCTGGCCAGCCACATGTGGCCCGCCGGCGGTAGTTGCTTGAAATTGAGAGCGATCGGAAGAGGGATAGAGCGGCATCAGCAAATGGCCTCACACAGTCGTGCCTCGGTAATCCGTATAAACACTTTCCAGGGATGCGGTGGGACTTTGCATAAAGCCAGAGAGTGACTTGTTCGGTCGGCCTAAGGCGCTTTGGCAAGATGAAGCCAAACGGATAGGACTATTTTGATGCTAGAACCTACAGGCGAGATGGCCCATCGTCACCGAAGCCCCTTTTTTGTCTCCGTTTCTGCCCAATTCCCACGGACCAACCGGGGTGGCGCATCACAGGCCATGGGTAAAGTGTCGAAAAACTCTTTGATTTGTTGCAGATCCGAAATGCCACCCTCGCCCCCACGACCCTCGCTGCCACCCGCTCTTCTCGCTTTGTCTCTGGGGGTACGGTAGTCGCACTCCCCAAGGGGCAGCTGTGGGTGGCATGCAATTGCTGGGCCCGAAAGGATTGTTTTGAGGATTGTTTTGACATTTGTTTGTGCGTGATGGGAAAGTTAGATTTCGGAATTTCACAACCTATCAGACATCTCAAATAGCACCATATTCCTGCAATCGACTAAAAATAGCCTCCAGATGATCACATGTGGCCGGGGTTGACCCAGTAGGGGCCCGGTTGGCGGCGCGCGCTTTTGCCGGACCAAAAAGCGATGTCTGCGGCAGATAGGGGATGCAAATTTTTGTAAACAACTTGTCTCTGGGCGACCGACCCGACGATCATGTGATGATGGAATACTAAAAAATCGTTCGGGGGTCTTGAGAAACGCATAAATCAGAAAACTCTCGAATTTATAATTTCTCAAATTGCTAAAGTGATATCCGCCCTGGTGATGAATAACGTTTTTACGCAGATGTTTGATCCATGTTTTTGTTCAAATTTCAAGCCCATCCCGAATTTGCACCTTCCACCCTCCGAATTCAAACCACCGGATCGACCACCACCCTCGCCCTCCCAAGTGGGCACCCCATAAAAAGAGTGGGGTCTCCTCTTTTGATGATCGCGGCGAGCCGTTTTTCGCGTAATCGACCCCTAGGCTTTTGGTGGGCCGACAAAATGTTGTACGCAATGATTGCGAGGAGCCCGGAATGGGTCTTTGTTTGTTTAATGGGATTCTGGAATTGGGTGTCGGCTCTTTCTACAAATCGAAAGAGAGAGAGAGAGCGGCAGAGAAAGAGAAAGAGAGAAAGAGAAAAAAGAGAGAGCTACAAAATCTTACAGTTTAAAAAAAAACAAAAAAAAAAAAAAAAATCCCCCTCCCGCCTTTTACAAAACCGACCCAATTTTTTTCCACATCTTTTCAATTTTTCAACATATCACCAAAATTCACCCCCCTATCCCCCTTTTATCCTTTACGCCTTTTACCTTCTTTTTAAAAAAAATTTAAAAAAAAAATATTTTACCCCCCTTTTTTTAAAAAAAAATTATAAAAAAAAAAAAAAAAAAAATTCGAAATTCTTTTTCCCCCTACTTCCCCCCCCCCACCCAGCCGAAAAAAAAAAAAAAAAAAAAAAAATTTATTTTTTTTTTATTTAAAAAACAAAATCAACCCAACCGGCCAGATATTATATTTTTTTTAATTTTTCCCCTTCCCCGCCCTTTTTAAAATTTTAAATTCATCCCGTTTTAAAAAAAAAAAACCAGGACCTTTTTTCGTAGTATCGATCTAGGTGAGTGCCTTATCTTTTGCGTTTTTTGCTGTACAAAATTATTAAGTTTTTAGCGTATCATTATCATTGCGTATATTTATTTCAATACATTTTATTGATAGTGATTTGCTTTGGAAATTTGCAGCGTCAGCTTTTGCACATCAAACATGTGGCAATAGGCGCGCTGCCAAGGGTGACCGAGGACGACCTGCAATTTGCAAAAACTACTTTTCCAGCCTTCGTTAATAATTTCCGTATTTTGTAAACTATAATTTAGGTGATAGAGCTTCAAAAATTATTTCGGATGTTTTTCGAAGTCAATCCAAGCCAAGAACCCGGAAAACAAACTACAAACCTGCGGTCCGGTACGGGTTTGCTCCCAGACGCTATTTGTCTGGAAGAGTATCTCACAGCGGTCGGTTCCCATATACTAAAAAAAACAGTATATAGCTTTTTAATCTATGCATCAATAATCAGAATGGGTAATATATTAAAGTATCCTCACCGAGTCGACATATTCCAGATATTTAATGCCATAATTTTGAGTTCCGATGGTGAATTGGAAATCCGGGAGGAAGGTGGTTTTCTCGCAGGGGAGGAAGTACTAAAAAGTAATTGAAAAACTATTGATTGAATCAATAAAACATATAATAAATATACAGTCAAAATTAAATCGTTAAACTTACACTTCCAACACCCGAGTCAAAGGTAGCATTTGCTGCTGTGCCGATAGCCGTCAGGGTGGCCTGTGGTACCAAATTGTAACGAGACGTAGAGTCGACCCGAGCGATCAAGTTCTTTGTTTCTCCACGGTTTCCGTGTTTCCAACTAAAGATAATAAATTTATAACAAAAAATTATGAAAGCAAATCCGCAAAGAAAAAAAATGTGGCTTGACAATTATCAGTTTCCTTTGTCGATTTTGATTTCATTTTCCTGGACTTACCCATTCAATCGGAACTCCCAATTCTGCCCCGACGTCAAGGTAATGGTGGTGAGGTTGTCATTCTGGCAGTTTCGATCGTCGTAGTCTCCCAGGGTCAAGTAGCCCTTTCCGTTGGGCTGCTCGAAACTAAAGGAAAACGTTTGCCATTGGATTTTTCTTCCTACTCGTTTAGCCAATAAGAAACTAGGCTCGGCGTGTTGGTCATCGACGGGTAGGTGCTGCTCAAATTGGCGAAGATCGATTTTCCGAGAATTCCGGCGATTCCGAGGCCCAGAATTCCGTCGGCCATCGAATCGTCATTGCTGCTTGGCATCTGAATATTATCATCTTTCTATTATGTTTATCTTAATTAAATTTTAGTCTTTACTTCATCGTTTTGAAGGTAAACACCGTCCTAAATTTCTAAACCGAACCTAACCCTGACCAAACTTTACTTTTTGTGTAGTAGAGTTCAAAATTGTTATATTTTTACTATGAATACAGTAACAAAAACTTACATAATAAGCCGATCCGAACATGATGTTGCTCTGAAAATCGGCAATACTGAACGCATCCGCAGAGGCCGTGTAGTCAGCTTGAAAATTGTCACCACGCTTCGCGGCATTTATTCCCAAATTTTTGAACGTAGAAGAGGCGCTGGAATCGATTTTACATAAATTTAGCTATTCATCCTCGGGGCTGAATCGTAAAAAAGTTCATTAAACCGAAAAAGTTAGCGCACCTGCCATCGAAGGTCGTCCGGGTATAGTTCAGCGCCGGATTGGTGCTACAAGTCGAATTATCCCATGTCAGGCATTTGGGGCTGATGACGATGGTATCGGCAAAAGTCGTATCGAGCATAAGGTTCAGGGTTTGGCCTGAAGGTTGAAACAATAGTAATCAAATAATAGGATTTTGGAGATTATCGCTTTCCGGCTTCCGTTAAAACTTCATCGTTTTAAAAGATTGAAATAAAAGGTCAGTAGGTTAAAAATGACGTATTTTGCAACGATCGTTGTAAGCCGTAGCTTACTCTTGTCCTACCTTTGCGTATAGCTTGCCTATACCTAGGCCTTAAAATATTGAAGCAGGTTTTCGATACCCCATTAAGCTTTTTCCACCTGGAGTTCCAAGCTGGATCTGGGCCCGAATGGTGTAATCCTTGTAGTAGACCAGCTTAATGTGAAGCGGATTTGGGTCGTCGTCATCGCGAATTTTTCTAAAATGCCCTAGATCATTACTGAACTCACACATTCTTTCCTTTTTTATGGAAAACCAGGGTTGAAAAGCCGCTTCGCGACTTTTCAACCCTGGCCCCGTCTGCGCCCATGATATTCTTGGTTTTGCATAATTTTCGCGGATACGGATGGCGAAAAAGGAAAATTGCTCTCTCCGTCCCTTATATAGACTACCGCGACTTCCGGTGCATGCTAATTTGGTCCTAACAAAGAGGGGTGTCCGATTTTTCATGACAACTTAATTTTAATGTCGAAAACTGCATATTTTGTAAAATGTAATATGTGTGCAGTCATCTCGAGAGCCTTGCACACCTAGTGACGTATCAAACATCCCCCTAACTTGCTCCCTTCTTGAGATGCGACTGGAACATGGTGACGGAAGTTGCATGCAAATGCACACACACACACACACACACACACACACACACACACACAAACACTATTTTTTTATATATAGTAGGAAAAGTTATTTTCTGGCTCGATTGAACTTAAAACTGTGTACCAAGCAACATAACTTACCCAGGTTTTCCTGAAACGGCCGAAATCGCCAAAAACATTGCAAAAGCAAGGAGGAGCCGTGACGCCATGTCGGGCTTTTGGGTGTGGGTGTGCAAAGTGGCTTATCTCGCTTTGTTGGTTCCTTGAGGTCGTGATTTTATCGACTTTACAAAGATAGGAGCGTTGCGTTGATCTTTGGAAGGGTGGAGCAAAGTAAAGTCTTTCCGGTTCGCCCTCTCTCTCTCTCTCATTCTCTCTTTCTCTCTCTCTCTCTCTCTCTCAATCCCTGGTTCATGTACTCGCTCTCTCATGCTTACGATATCTTTCTCTGCCGCTCTCTCTTTCTCACTCTCTCTCTCTCTCTCTCTCTCTCTCTCTCTCTGTCTTTCATAAAATTTATTCTAATACAAGACTCCACAAAGCGTAGTATCACATGCGAAGTAACAAAGCGGATCCATAACACAAGAAAGCATCAAATCTACAAGCCAAAAATCCCTAGACTTGAGTCCCATTCACATCCTGTCCCTCCTTGAACTCGAACACCTTGGCCATCACCTTGCCGTTGTCGGCGGCCTGGATGAACTCGCCGATGTAGACGAGGGCGGCTTGCATGTATCTGAAATTTTAAGTATACCGCGACAATGGGTAGAAGCTCACTTCTCGAACGTCTTCGCGTCGCTGAGGTCGACGATACCGTGGCAAATATCCCCCTCGCACGCGCTGACTGGGGTCCAGCTGGCCTGCGCCATTTGGGTGTTGGCGGCTGAAAGTTTTTCTGTACGTAACGGCAAAGAAGTCTACAATTCTACTGACTGAAACCTCACTAAAAATAAAAAAAATGACAATTCCACTTGTTTTTATGATGCACTAAAAGCGTTTTCAAAGAATCTCTGCTAGTTTGCTCTATCTCATGCTCGTCAGTCACTATCATGATAATTTTCATACCAATCATGCCCAAGATGAAGTTAGTCGGGTCGAGCTTCGAGTCGGCCGCCGACTTGACGACACCATCAAGGAGTTTTTTGGCCAGGTCTGGAAAGAGTGCTAGGTAAGAGAGAGAGAGAGAGAGAGAGAGAGAGAGAGAGAGAAAGAGAGAGAGGGAGAGAGAGAGAAAGAGAGAGAGCGAGAGAGAGGAAGAGCACGGTCACTAAAATCCTACCTGGTTCTTGAGCCGCCGGCCTAGCAATGCCCACTCCCTCGCAAGCATCTGAAGCCAGGGCTTTGCACATTCCGGGTACGGTGCGGAATCCGCCAGTGACGTAGACCTTCGTTTTCGAGAAGAGCGGGCGGATCTGAAGTTGAAACCATAACCTCAGCCTAAGCCTAAGCCTAAATCCAAGCCAGCCTAAGACTAAGCCGAAGAAATACCTTATCAGCAAACTCCAAGAAGAAGGCCTCTCTGGCCCTCGTCGAGTCCCTGGTATGGTGCATCTCGATGTGCTCGTAGGTGCCGCCGGACAGCTCGATGAAGTCGAAGCCGAGGTCCTAGTGTTGGAGCTGAGTTATACGTGAAAAAACGATACCTCAATCATTCCACACATTGTCTTGGCATCCTGCATCGTCAGCCCATCTTTCTGGAACTCGACCGAGTTGAACTTGATGCCGACGAGAAAGCCGCTGGTTTCGGGGATGGCGGATCTGAAGGAGAGGAATGATTGGCTTTTTCTTTCTCTCTCTATCTCTCGCTCTCCTTCCCTCTCTCTCTTGCTCTTTCTCTCTCTCACGCTCACTCTCTAGCTCCAAAGCCATATGGCCTAAAGTGCCGTACCGAATGGCCTGGTACACCTCGCGGACAATGCGGAATCGATTTTCGGCGCCTCCGCCGTACTCGTCGGTGCGCTTGTTCGTCGTCGGCGCCAAGAATTGGGACAACAGGTAGCCGTGGGCGGCGTGAAGCTGGATGCCGTCGAAGCCTAGAAGTTAAGAAAATTGTTGTAAATATCTTCATTTATCTTTGATTATCACTCTCTCTCTATCTCTCTCTCTCTCTCTCTCTTTCTCTCTCTCTCTGTCTCGCTCACGCTCCACCTACCGGCATTCTTCAAGGCCTGCGCGGCGTACACAAATCGATCGATCACCTCGGTCTTGATCTAAAATTAATTTTTTTAGATACTACGAGATATCTTCCAACCTCACTAGTCGTCAGGGGCTGTGGTTTCCCGAATCGCATCCCGGTCCCGGCGGGGAAAACCAATTGAACATCAGACGCCGACATGGGGCTCGGGTTGATGGCGTACGGGGTTTGGCGGCCGGCCTGAAAAGGTATCGAAATGCAAATCTGTGGCTACCATCAGGGTACCATTAATGCGTAGATTCACTAACGATAGCTTAGTCTACTCACATTTCCGACTTGAGCAATCATCAATGCTCCCTTCGATCGTCCTGCCTGGGCCATGTAGCGCAACATGCCGTGGAAATTCGGGTTGTCGTTCTCTTTGCAGACGACGACGTTGCCGGCGGCTTCGAGGTTTGTCTGGAGTGTCGATGACTTGACTTTTCTTGCTCACTAGCCCTCTCTCTTGCTTTCTCCCCTCTCTCTCTCTCTTTCTCTCTCTCTCTCTCTCTCTCTCTCTCTCTCGCTCTCTCTTTCTTACTCTCTTACCGGATGCGTCATAATATTCCCAGTCAAAATCAATCCCCATCCGCCGTGCCCAAACTTCTCGTAGAGGTTGACGAGCTGCGGGGTGGGAGTGCCGCGTTCAGCCAGATCCTCGCTGAACCTGGCCAACTTCTCGGTCATCGCCGACTGAAAATTGAGATTAAAGCCATTGCGCAGCTCAAACGGCCAGATGGCAGCAATCCAAGGCAGTAATGGTTTGCTGAAAATGCCTTGAACTGCTCCACCTCGACGTACCTTCAAAAGCCGATTTGGTGCGGCCCGTCCATTCGGGAACTTGAGCTTCTGCCCCAGCGGCTGGGCGTCCATCCAAACGTCGTCGACCTTCACCCGCTCGCACACCATCTTCAGGGAGGACAGGGAAAAGTACCTGGAAGTAGATTTTATAGTTTTTACAGACGAATTAATAAAATTGAAGAAAAAGAAAAGAGCAGAAAAATAAATTATAGTAATGACAATAATAAAGGAATTTTACGTTCCTGCGGCTGGAAAAAAAAAAACCAGAAAAAGGTCCTTAATCGACGCAATCAATTTTTTCGCTTTAAATTTAAACTTTTCTTGACCTCACGATCCTCGAATTCCCCATCCGTACTTTCTTTTGATTACCATTTCGTTTTATCTGCCTTTTTACGTTTTCGGCTCAAGTCTAGGAAACCCCCCCCCCCCAGCCGTAACTTTTCAATCATGCGTCCTATTAATGCGCTGAGTATCTCAAAATGTTCGCCGTGGTTGAATTACTATAAAAAAGTTGTTTCCAAACACCAAAAATTGTCAGAAAAATTTTTATGACAATTATAAGTCTGGGTTTCCCATAGTTAATTTTTGCTGTTCCAAAGTAAGTTTTCGTATCTCGGCTATCTTTGACGTACAGAGCTGTCAATGGTACCAAAAGGTAGCTCTTGCTCTGTAGAATAAGCCTACAGTACGTTTGAGCCAGAAAAATAGCGAAAATAAAAATATTTGAGTTTTCGGCTCCTGGTACATTGAAGCACAGTGGCTTAATCTTTTAACTTTCAAAATCTTATGAAAAAAATTCAAGCAATTTTTGCCGCAAGAAAACAACTTTTTTATAGTAATTCGACCACGGCGAACATTTTGAGATACTCCGCGCATTAATAGGAAGTATGGCTGAAAAGTTAGGGCTGGGGGGGGGGGGTTTCCTAGACTCTTACCACGTTTTCCCACGCCCGGATTTTCGCCCCACACCTATGCGTGGCTCGTTAAAATGGACTTGAGCATGGTCAGGCGCCCTGCCTGAACCATGCACTTCCCTTTTCCGGTATTTTTTACGCCGGGTTATGCACCGGTAGGTGGTGCGCGCAACGCGTAATCGGGTTTTGGGTGGAAAAAGTGCAGAATTGGCGAGCGATCACTGAAATCCGAAAAAAAACGTTGCGTAACTACCTTCTAGGGACGAGAAGAAGGCGCATGATGTTTGGATTTCGGGGTTCCGAATGGCATAGAATCAGATTTTTGGGCTTTAATGGGTCTTAAGGAAATTATGCAAACATTACATATGCTAATTTTCCTATTGCAAAATGCAATCATTAAACTACACTCAATTTTAGCATCCCAAAATTGTCTTAAAATTCATACTTTTAACGAAAGAATTTAATGAATTAGAAAAAGAAAGTAAAAAATGATGTAATGCTTCTAGCCAATCTAATAAAATCTCTAGGTCTCTATGGTTTTTTTGCTAATTTTGGAGTCTATGTCAAGGATGTTTTTGAGTCCGTTAAAGCGCATTTCATAAAAAGTTCAAAATTTCGAGAAATTACGGTACTTTCAAGTCGACCTACAGTGTCTATGCTCAGATTTTGAGCTTTATAAGTACCGTCCAACCCTCATTTTTTTTTGAGATAACCATACCGGTAGGTCATAAGCGAGTCGGACTACTTTTTCACAGCCAATATTTTTCCTCAACAAAACGCTGGCTGCCATTTCTTCATTTCTTTTCCCAAAACTCGGATCTGCGGACCGATTCATGTCAAGATTAGGCGTCACTTGGGGGTGTCACTAATGCGCTGAACGCCAGGACACGCAAAAGAACTCTTGGATCCTTGGTATGATACGCATCTCGTGTGAGTTACTGCCTGTTTTGACGGATGGAGGAATTTTGAAATGGGTATTGGGGTACTGTAAAAAGAGGAAAGTCACGTCCAGTCAGTCGCAGGCGGAAACCTAACATTATAAATTTTTAGATACCTTGCTTAACAAATTTGTAATCTCATAGAACCTTGGCATTTAGAATATTGGACGGTAAAAGTAATGAATCCGATGTGACAAAATCAAGTATCCAATCACCTTGAAATACATCGCCGGCCCTAAAAATACCATAAATTCTGAGGTATTCTGAGTAGCACAGCTATATATCTAAAATTGTGCGTAAAAAAAGACGCCAGTCGGCAACTAGCAAAAATTTTTTAAGAACGATGGCTTTAAGGAAAACGCTTTACTTTGATTTACCTATCGACACCAAACACTAAAAATCGTTAAATTCACCGCCTTAAGATTTTCAGTTGTTGTGCGTCGGTAGCTACCGTAAGACCGCAGCTCCAATAAAAAGTCGCATCCTAGAAAAATTAAAAAATTAATGACCCTAACCTATTGAAAACTTGAAACTAACTGACGAAAAATGCGATATTTAGTCCCATCATATCTAGAGTACTGTAGCGCTGTTTCGTCGTTGCACACACTTTATACGCCCCACAATTTGCGCGACAAGTACGCAAAAACGGGCGGCAAAAAATGGCGGGAGCTGCCGGTAACGACCTACCACGCCCGGCTATGCAGTTGAGCCGCAAAAAGTCGTGAATCTCGAACTTCAGGGGGTCTATTTTACCAGTGGAATCCCCGCATTTAAATCCTAGCAAAAAGACGCCAAATCTCGGGGTAATTGTTGGAGTGGTATGATGCTGGGGGTAGGGGCCAAATGTTTCAAGCCCCACGGATGGATAATCGCTCATTTTTGAGGGCAATGTGGGGAAAAAGAGGACCACCTAAAGAACGGGGAAAGGGCAAAAAGATGGAACCCGCTGAGGGACCTGGGTGAAACGTGGGGTGTAATGTGATCGCGATCGGAATGGACGATCCGGTAGGTATAGAAGGACTGAAAAATGAATTTTGGGTGGTAAATAATTCTTCAAAAAGGTATTAAAAGGGGCTCGGAGGGCAAAATCCGTGCGTGGGGGATTGCATTTTAATGAGCACGTTAACTAATTATTAAAAATAATACAGCTGGCAAATCGCAACTAAAATTTATTCACAAAACATGTAACAAAAACAACCCCCAAAATGCGTATAAATAGTCGACGAAAGTGATGAGAAACAAACTGCAGGGAGCAGAAAGTTGCGCCTCTATTCAAGCAACACAGGGTACACAAAATGACACAAATTTGTCGTGATCATTCCAGAGCAGAAGAGAGAGAGACAGAGAGAGAGAGAGCGAAAGAGAGAATTTTTCAAAACAAGCAACACAGATCTTTATCGAGTTGTTGGCTCGACATTTGACGCGTTTGGTAGCCGGCCAGACGTTACGCTTCCACCGAACATTCGACCCGGCTGACACCGCTTTGACCGCCGTCCTAAAATGAAAAAAATAGCCATGAAGCTACAAAGTACTGTATCGTAGCTAGACAAAGCTTTGAGATGACATCTAATTAGGAGCTGATCCCCCCGGTACTTGAGTTGCATCAGCTACGCCTCGATAAAACAGTATCGGAGTTCCGAAAAGGCTAGAACTAGCCTCACTATTTTTTTTGCCAAATGGGAGGGTGCTTACTGTAGGCACTGGATTTTACGAAATAAACTATAGAAAATGCAATAAAAAAAATCTTTTATTGTCTTTGGCAAAGAACTAATTTGCGTTTGGACATTGAACGAATTGAAGATTACATTCTCCTTCGAAAAATAAATCTTTGAAAGATTTATGCAAATTACAAATGTAGCTTATTTCAGTTTTCCCCAATAAAAAGAATAATTTATAAATTGTATAATCCGTGTTGTACCATTAATTACTATTTACCTGATGTGTAACCAGCCATTGTTGCCCATTCCCAGCGCAAGTCAGGGTATCGGAAACTGATGAGGTTCCGGCGGCTCCTTGCGTTGTCCCTTGAGCACCAGCGTCCCACTAAAGTAACTTATAGAACCCTTCAATGTCATAGGCATTATTTATAACCAGAAAAGAAGAAGAAAATTCCTATCAGTCCCAAAATTTTAGAAAAAATGGTGATGTTACCTGCAAAATCATACTATCACCAGCGTCTGGTGACGTACAAGTCAACCTCCTCCTCAAGCAGCCAGTTGTGTCTCGGAAAATCTGAAATTAAGAAAGGATTTTTGATACAAAACTTGACTAAAGGGTCAATAACAAGGACACAGTTTACCTCATCACTAGTAATAGCAAACACATTTGGCGGAGACGCTGGATCTTTTGTTAGCATGGCTGCGGTGCATTGTTGACATCCTGAAACAGAAAAAAATAAATCTTTTTAGTTTAATTAAGCACTATTGTCAAATGTTTTCAATGTCGATTTTATTAAAAACAGAACAAGTGGTTCAGCTACAAAATCATCAAGATAAGTCAAGTTACATCAGTTAGATTTAGAAAATTCTACGTACCTTTCGAACTGCCGATCCCGGCCATTGGAGCACAAGCATATACTAATTCTAATAGAGTAGTAAGTCTAAAAATCGTCAAGAATATTCTAGAGATCATGCCGACACCAAAGTACGCAAAACTCTGTGATTGGAACCCTGGGGAATGGTGTCAGGACCATCATCTGAACCTTCCCTAACACGATAATCACCAGGTTGGCCCTCGGGTCAGCCCGTCAACCTTTGGCTGACTGCTTCAAGGTTGGCTTTTCTGTATTTCCACGTGAGATTCTGAGAAACGCAAAAATGTTTCTCTGTCTGTTTTTGGCATTGTTTTTGAACCGTAGCAGCTGTTATACCCGCGTTATCCACTTAAGCGAACAACGATACACCTTTATGCACATCCTATAACTGGCATAAACCTTCATTAGGAAGACAAGCCCGGCCGTTTTCGCAATCTGCGTCAATTTGGCAGGCAAACCCGGGTTCGTAGATCAGCTGGCCGACCTGATTGCCACTAAACTAGACTAGTAAACCGAGAGAGAGCGAGAGGGAGAGAGAGAGAGAGAGAGAGAGAGAGAGAGAGAGAGAGAGAGAGAGAGAAGAGCAAGAGCGAGAGCCGAGAGCGAAAGATATCTGATGATCCTAACTTACGCAGGCTTGTAGTGACAAACGACGTAAGTAAACCTCGAACAATGCGCCCAGCCGCATCCAACTTCGGTCGTCTCCTGCCAGGCCATCTGAGCAAGCGCTTTGTGTTTGTTTAGAGCTGAAGCTTACTTGCGTGTAGTGAGAAATTTCATCAGAGTAAAACGTCTCCGGAAGCGTGAGATTTTGTCCAACGCCCCTATCCTCTAATCCGCTCCACCACAGTTTTACAGCCTAAAATTCAGATGGTAAATTGAAACAGAAATCGAGAGAGAGAAAGCGAGAAAGAGAGTGAGAGAGAGAGCGAGAGAAACAGAGAGCTAGAACGAGCGAGAGGGAAAGGAGAGAGACCTACCGAAATAATCGCACTCTCTGGATCAGTAGCATTGTCATCTATAGAGAAAACATTCTCTCCCGTATCTTTCCGATCCGGTGACGATCCGAATTTGCATTCAGAGGCCCATTCCTGGGCCGACTGCTCGGCCCCGCAGCTGTATTTCTAAAAATTAGAGGTAAGTGCTAGCTACGACTGATACCATTTTGGTCATCCTTCTGGCCGGCGGGGCATTTCCTCCATCTTTATCTGGAGCATTCCCCTTGGCAAGTTTCGATCTGAACAGGTTGTGCCAGCCGAGCACGAGGTCACGCTGGGCATCCGTCACCTTGGATTTGGGTCCCGGGCATTGCTGACTCGAACCGGAGTCTGACACATGATGGTTTTACTGGGTATAAGCCTAAGCCGAAGCCAAAGCCCGAGGCCTAAGGCTAAGCCGAAATCCTTACCAAAATATTCATACTCGCATAACCCCTTTAGCACATCACAGGTGCTCCCGGGGTACGTCGTGCAATCCGTATCTTTTTTGCACCCACTTCCACCCTCATACGCCGGGTCTCCCATTAGAGACGGTCTGGAAGGTATGGAATTTCGCAAGTTTAAGGTAACTCACGTATCAAAAATACACACAATCTAGTGTCCATAAGAGTATGCTGGGTCCGTTGTAGGACAGTCAGTCCTGTAGAAGCAACCGACCCGCGTTCGGTGGCTGGTTGCGTACTGAAAATCAGTCTCAAATATCTTTCTTTCTCTCTCTGCATCGCGCTCACTCTCTCACACTCTCTCACTCTTTCTTTCTCTCTCTCCCGCTCTCTCGCTGTCTCTCTCTCCACCTACCTTCCCCCAATCGACGGTTTCTCGAGTGATCTTAACATCAGCGTCAATCCCGACAATCTCTGCATGTTTGATGTGTTCGCTTATAAGCGTCGTCAGGGTTACTGTAGCGTTAATCGGAGTCGATTGTGCTCCGCTAAATTGCGTAATACATTTCCTGACATTTGATCCATTTTACGCAGTTCATTTTCATGTTTTTGCGGGTTTTTTTGGGTTTTACGTGGCTGCACTTACGTAGCTACGAGGGCATTATCGGTGAAGATTCCGTTTCTTCCGCAATTGGAGCTGAATTGGTAGGCCGTATCTTCGAGGGCGCAGTCGTAGTACTAAAATCGACTCTCCCTCTCTCTCTCTCTCTCTCTCTTTCTCTCTCTCCCTCTCTCTCAAAACCCACAATCTTGTACATATTCTTCGCACTTGGCAACGTCCAGGTCGCATTCGGCGCCATTCCATTAGCCAGCATTTCTCGGAAGAAATTTATGCGGTAGGTTGCCGCCCATCGAAAGTCATCAGATACCTCTTGGCGAAGCCGTAATCACAGAATCTTATATTTTAGAGACTGCAAAATTCCTTAAATAATTTTTACAAATGATTCAAAATTACCTCGCTATGGCACTTGCTTTCATCGCTCGCCTTGATGCTTGATGAGAGCTAAACTTTGCCAACCGTTTCGAAATTGCTCCGGAAGGGCGGAAAAATGTCTTAAACTTACCATCATCGCCTGAAGATAGGGCAGCACGCATACCATAATGTGTGAATATAGACTGAACGGACCTTTAACCCTTCCTAGTCGCTCGATTTGGTGGACGGCTCGTAAAAATGAGTTTGGGGTAGAGTGTTGTCCAAAGCTGCATCGAACTTTTGGTTCGGCTGCCAGCTCACCGGTAAGCCCGTTCCAATTTGTAGGACTCTAGGACCCGGAAGTTCAAATTATCACTCTCTCTCTCGCTCTCTCTCTCTCTCTCTCTTTCTTTCCCCCCTCTGTCTCTGGCTCTCTTTCTCTCAGTAGCTCAGTCTCTCTCGCTTTCTATACATTTCGCTTCCTCTCTGAGTTATTTGCGGGGTGTATCCATAGTATGTCAATAATAGTTTGACGTGGTTTTTAAATTTATTTTTATCAATCCTACAAATTTTTTGCGGCCATTTATTTAATTTTGTAATACTTGGCATAGGCCTTCATTCACAAGACATTTTCTTCGGCTTCCACAATCTGCGTCTGTTTTGCAAGGCGGTCCGGGTTCGTAGACGAGCCGATACAGTTCATTTCCTCTGAAAAATATTAGGCTATATCGATATCGCGTTGCAAATAGAATAAAAAAATAGTAGATAAATAGATAACTTACGGCGGGCGGTAATGACAGACAACGTAGGTAAAACTGACGCAATGAGCCCACGCGCAGCCAACTTCGGTTGTTTCTTGCCACGCCATCTTAAAGAAATCGACGCGTTAAGCGGCTAAAGTTAAGTAAAACTAAAGATACATAAAGACAAAATACGCTGGAAAGTTGAACTTCATGCGAACACCCGAGGTAATTGTTTGAGATTTTCACCTGACTAAAGTGACGTGCGGATATCAACGTGGAATCGGTGAGGTTTGGGAAACTCATGCTGCTCACGGAGCTAGATTCCTTCCACCAGCTTTGAATGGCCTGAAAAAAATTAATGAAAAAATGTTACCGCGTCTTGCAACTTTTCAGATAATAGAAGCTCTGAAAAATGCTAATTTAAAAAATAAGCATTAAATGAAAAACTTCTTAATCTTGAAAAATTCAAAAATTTTCAAGTTAAAAACGCTTTCACAGCCAAAATGTCATCTGAAGAATTAAGCAGCGCTACGTAATTTACCTCATTGAGCGCGTCAGCCGGATCTTGATAGCTAAAGCTGTTAATATACACATTTTCTCCCTTATTCGTGGATTGAGAATAATAGCATCGAGAAGCCACTTCATATGCAGTCTTCTCCGCCCCGCAACTATACGTCTAGAGTGAGTAAAAAGGTAAGATTTGAATTTTTAGCCACCATTTTGGTCATCCTCTTTGCCGTTGGAGCATAGCCGAAGGCAACGTCAGCAACGCCTCTTGCCAAGCCTGATCTCAAATGGTTATGCCAGTCGAGCACGAGGTCGCGCTGCGCATCCGTCATCATTGATGTCGTGCCAGGACATTTCGAGTTAACCCTTGCATCTGGAAACATAGCCTTACGAAAATGTAAAATATTCGAGCGAAGAAAATGGAAAATGTGTATTCTGACAAAATCCGGCATTCAGTATTTTTTGTTCCAAAAATTGAAGGTAATGGAAACACAGAAATCGACGCTTCTACGTACCACTATATTTGTACTCGCACAGACTTCTAGCGGCATCACATTTACTTCCCGGATACGTGGTACAATCCGAATCGGTTGCGCAGCCATCGCCAACTTGATATGCTAGCTCTCCAATGTCGGCGGCCCTGAACAAAAAGCAAGCTTTCCAAATCCCTGTCCCGGAACACGCTATTCGAAGTTTGAATTCGGAACGTTTCGGGATTGAGAAAGATATCCATCATAAAAGCCGCTCCTACCTCGTGTCAAAAACGCAGGCCATTAGGTATCCGAGAGCCGGACAGTTCAAATTATACGCGCAGCCGATACGGGTGCGGCGTCCCGTTGCTAGCTGAAAACAGATTTTTGCTCAATTCTAACTACCCTGGATTAACTAGCACATCCAAAGTTGAGGTTATAATTACGATCTACGTAAACTTGTGCCAACTGTAGCGCATGTCCGGATACTCACTTCTGCCCAAGAACTGGTCTCCGTCGAAACGTTCACCCAGTCAGCAGCAAACCCAACTGTTGTCGCTTCAGCTATATAATAACGCATCATCGATTGGAGTATACTTGGGAGCCGCGAAATGTCGTCTAGGGCCAAGTATCCGCTGAAAGTTATTGATTTTTGTGGATGATTGGACCTTCGGTGCGAGCTAATTTTCTGGCAGTATGTCTAGCTTTAACTTTATGGGTTCTGTGGTACTCACGACATCCAAACGGTGTTCGGAGGTGTAACTGCCAATTTTCCGCACGTAGACGTGAATTGGTACGCGATGTCTTCGAGGGAGCAGTCGTACCACTAGAATCTTTTGTCCTTCTCAGTCTCTCTTTCTCTCTCTCTCTCTCTCTCTCTCTCTCTCTTTCTCTCTTTCTCTCGCTCGAACACCCACGATTTTGTACATATTCTTCGCCCCCGGCAGCCACCCGTCCTTATTTGGAGCCATTTCTTGGGCCAACATTTGACGATATAAATTCAGGCGTTCCACCGCTGCGGTTCGGAAGTCTTCCGTCACCTAATGGTATAGCGAGTATCGGAGCTAATAAACAACCAAATTACCTCTGGACGGCAGTTTTTATCATCACTTAACTTCATGGATGATGAAAGCTATAAAAATATTAATTGGCAGCAAAAATAGCAATTTTAAGACTGGAAAATGTTGCCAAATCGATAAAACCTACCACTATTGCCTGAATATAAGGTAGTAAGCAGCCCATCAAACCTTTTAGGCGCCGCGCGCACGTGTAAAGGGTTTTTGAGCTTCCGATATTTCCACGGTCGGCTCGTTAAAATCGGGTTAACCGGAGTGTGGAACAAAGCTATAGTGGACCTTTGGTTCCGTTCTTGGCAACTAGCTGCTAATCTGCTTTCAATTTTTGGTCTGCGGAGAGGTCAGATCGATTTTGTAAAAAAATATACTTTAATGCTGATTATTCATGTGGTTTTTGTGGAATAATTTATACATAATAGAGATACAATTTCATCAGGGCTGTACGTGGCATAAGGCTTCATCCACTAAACATATTCGTCCGCTTCCGCAATCCGCATCAGTTTGGCAGGCCGGTCCGGGCTCGTATATGAGTTGATTCATGTTATTACCACTAAAAATTAGGTGGTAGGGGAGAGGGAGAGAATGAGAGAGAGATAGAGAGAGAGAGAGAGAGAGAGAGAGAGAGAGGGAGAGAGGGAAACACTCTTCTGTAACTTACGCCGGTTTATATTTACAGACGACGAAGGTGAAGCCATTGCAATATGCCCAACCGCAACCCACTTCGGTGGTTTCTTGCCAGGCCATCTGAAGGCAAAATTAACACGGGCTTCATCTCAGTTCACCTGAGTATAATGCTGAACACCTCTTTGCCAAACGGCATCCGTCAGATTTACGTCAGGTCCAACGCCATATTGCGTTAATTCGCCCCACCATTGTTGCATTGCCTAAAACGGTATCTCTCCCCCTCTTTCTCTCGCTCTCTCACTCTCTCACTCTTGCTCTCCCTTTCTCCCTCCTTCTCGCGCGCGCGCGCTCTCTTTTTGCCTACCTCCTTCAGTGCATCAACCGGCTCCACGTAACCGGCCCTATAGTACGTATTTTCGCCGGTATTGTTTCGCTTTAGAAAATCTGAAGCGGGACATGGCGTCGTCCATTTGTAGACCGATTTCTCGGCCTCGCAGCTGTACCTCTAAAATCAGACCCTACGTAAAGTCTTGCGAACCTATTGAACCTACCATCTTGGTCATCCTCCTGGCCGGCGGGGCATTGAACCCAGCACGATCGGGCTCGTTGCCCAGGGCCAGGCTCGATCTCAGCTGGTTGTGAGTGTTGACGACGAGATCACGTTGAGTGCCGGTTAGGCTGTAAGCGGCCTTGGGACATTGCGGGTTAATCACTGTTCCTAGAATAGGGGACTTTTGGGTGATAAGGAGATCGAAAACGAATTTTGAGGGTGAAGTTTGGCAGCTTACCATCATACTCGCATAGCCCCCTGGCTGCATCACAACTGCTTCCTGGATACGTCGTACAATCGGAATCCTGAGCGCATTTAGAGCCGGCTTCGTAAGCAGGATCTCCATAACTCGAGGCGCTAAACGTGTGCTTTACGGCTGCGGTTGAAGCCTCCGACTTACCTCGTATCAAAAACACAAGCCATATAATATCGAAAGGGACGCATCGGATTTTTTGCTCGGCACTTCATCCGGTAAGAGCAGCCGACGCGTGTCCTCCTTCCGGTTGCGTACTAAGATCGTACTGCGTTTTTACTTGAACGATTCAAGCTACACTCACCTGTCCCCAATTAATGGTATTGATCGTAACTTTCGCTTCAGCAGCAACCCCATAAGTTTGTGCTTCTTTAATATGCCCTGTTATCATAGCAGTCAAGATATCTGGGGCCGAGGCGAGCGTTTTGCGATCCAAATACATTGCGCTAAAAAAATTTGGTATTGGTTGGGTGACTTTATGGCATATTTTATAGCTCTCAAAAAATTGAAAAAATTATTAACTTGCTTATAAAAAGATTATGAACTCGGAATTAACATAGAAGTTTTTTAATAAGTGCAAGCAACATAAAAACCTACGACATAACGATGGCATTCGTTGGCCAAGGACCCAGCCTGGCGCATCTGGAGGTAAATTTATAAGCAACATGTTCAAGAGCGCAGTCGTAAGTCTGGAAACGGCTTGAGATGATTTAAATTGGCTACGGCAAAGCTCATGTCAAGTATCTTTCCAAGCAGAGAACATAAAAGGCTTTTTACTTCCTCAGGAAGCAGATACCTTTCAAAACTCGCCAGTTTATACATATTCTTAGCTCCGGGCAGCGCTCCGGTCTGGTTGGGTGCAATTCCGTAGGCTAGCATCTCGCGGTAGAAATTGAAGCGGTACAGTGCGGTCTGTCGGAACTCGTCGGATACCTGGGCTCCTGATCTTACTGTAAAGTGTTTTTACTCAGGCTGGCGTTTAGAATGGGACCAAGCCTATCTTGTGCAGAATTTTTCGCTGATTCCGAATCTCGTTTCCAAATTTGCTGCCGACCTTCATTTAAAAAGTTATTTGACATTTAAGCTAAAAAAATTGACTAAATCTGGATTTTTTGCGTTATTTTTTAAGTTGTCGTCACCTCCGACGTTAACACTGGCTCGGGAACGGTTTTAGAGGTCAAAGCACGATTTTATGCAAAAAATCATGTGTTTTTGTGCAAAAAGCAAAAGAAATTGTGCAGGGCGGGGATCGATCCGCCGCCCTGCACCTGGCAAGCGAACAGCTTACCAATGCACCATGGTGCCAATTGGGAAGGGGGCTTCGGGAGGGTAGATAAGGGGCACAACAATACCTGGAGAGGCAGGGAATAGTGGGCCAACATCCGAATTTATGCCGTTTTTATGCTTAATTTCGACCTGAAATGACTTTTCAACGCGAAGTCCGCAGCAAATTTGGAAAACGGATTCGGAATCAGCAAAAAATTCTGAACAAGATAGGCTTGGTCCCATCCTGAAACGCCAGCCTGAGTAAAAACACTTTACAGTTAGTAGGTAGTTTATCGTTAAGCGGGAACATCAGGCCTGAAATATCCAAAAATCACCTCAGCATGACATTTGCTATCGTTGCTGACCTTCGCTGCGGCTGTTAGCTAAAAGTAATTATGTTCAGCGAAGCGAAGGAGAGGCTGAATTTAACCAAGGTTTTAGAAAAACTATATAACTTTACCATAATAGCCGGGAGGAACGACAATAAATACAGCATCTTGCTTTTTGGTGCAGGAAGCACGTTTGTGCGTTTTTTGAGTTTTCGATTTTTGCGCGGGCGGCTCGTTAAAATCGGGTTAAACATAGAGGTGTACAAAACTGAACTGACCCTTGGTTCCGCTTTTGGAAGCGTGCCAATTATCTGTTTGCTGCGATTTTTGGCCGGTGAGAGACTAAGATAGTAAGTTCCCAGCATGTAAAAACTGAATTCTTTGTGTTTTTTCTTTTAGATGTCTTAGTGAGTCTTGTCCACGGTTTTTGTAAATTTTTGCCGCATATCCAATTACTTTATTCACCAAGCGGATTAAATATACAAGATAAGCAGGTGCTTAGAGCCTAAACTTGGCACAATCCATCCCTCACGATGCAAGTCCTTCCGCTTCCGCAATCTTCATCCGTTTGGCAGGCCGGTCCGGGTTCATAGATTAGTTGGTACATTTGATTGCCGCTAAAACGAGTTTATGGGGCAAGATAGAGGGAGAGAGAGAGAGTGAAAGAGAGAGAGAAAGAGAGACAAAGAGAGAACATGAGAGAAAGAGAAAGAGAGAGAGAGAGAGAGAGAGAGAGGGGGCAGAAAACCTACGCGGGTTTGTAATGGCAGACGACGGACGTGAAGTCAGGGCAGTGGGCCCACGCGCAACCCACTTCAGTCGTCTCTTGCCAAATCATCTAAAAGCAAAATTCTTGTAAGTTCATTAAAAAATTCGATTCACATGCGTTTATGTTGATAAATGACGTGAGGTACGAACCTGTGTATAATTTCCGAGACCCTGGGCCCAGACTGGAACGGTAAGGTTGCCGTCAGGACCAACAGCAAATCGTTCGACTTCCCCCCACCATTGCAGCGTTGCCTAAAGCGAGGTCGACAGCGGAAAGGTGCGAAGAACATTGTGAGGAGTGCTTTTGCGGCAGCGAATGAGGCGATGCGAAAGTTGAGCGGCAACGACCTAGCCTTTTGTGAGGCCAAGGCTTAATTGGGAAACATATTCGGAATCAGCGCAAAATTATGGATTAGTTAGGGTCAATTATCACTTAAAACAAACCCAACCTCCAAGAGGGCGATATCGGAAGCCTTTTGACTATCCGGAAAGAAGTATAGATTTTCCCCGGTATTATTTCTGTTGGGGGAATGGGCTGCAATGCACTGGGACGCCCATTCTTGCGCCGACTTTTCCGCTTCGCAGCTGTACTTCTGGAAGCAGAATTCGGAGCTATCGGGATGCATTACAATTTTGGTCATCCTCTTGGCCGGCGGAAGCTCGGCACCATGGTCACCTTGTTCATATCCCCTGGCCACCGTCGATCTGCGATAATTGTGATTGGCGGCTATAAGTTGTCGTTGCGGGTCGATCATGTTCGACACTTTCGCGGGACATTGCACGTTCGCTGAGTCTCCTGGAATCAATGGTTCTTCATTAACGCAAGCACCAAAAGCTAGAATTCCCCTATGCGCTAATTTTCAAGTAGCAACTCGCTGTTCAGTGGTGGCTTACCATGAAACTCGCAGAGACCCCGGCCGACGTCGCAGGTACTTCCGGCATAAGTGGTGCACTCCGAATCCCTCGTGCACTTCGGGCCTACCTCGTAGGCAGATTGACCGATGTCCGCAGGGCTAACAAGCGGTTTGTAAGTGGCTAAGTGGTTCACTATTATTTATGACAAAGCTTGGAACCAATTCTGTGACGTATTATTCGCCATTATCAGGGTATAGAATTTTATCGATGTCATAACCATCGGGTCCAAGACTGTTTAGGGTAAAAGTATCAGAATCGCGGAAGTTGGAATCTCGTAATTGGTTAGGAACATATCGCAAATTTTTGAAGGCTGCCGCCCAGCAGCTTTTTCTTTAAGGACACACAAAAGAAACATTTTCAAGATTCAAATTTTCGTGGTTTTGATTTTGGAGGTTCCGAGCTTCCTGGTTCTGATAGAAAATTTTGGTTAAGACCACCGGATTCTACAGAATGGGGAGTGAAGCGCTTATTGAGGCCTGGTTATAAGACCTACTAGGTGTCAAAGATACACACAACGTGACAGAAATATGGCTCCGAAGTCCCCATCGATTGGCTTGCGTTGCAGTCCATCTTGTATGAGCAGCCGACACGCGTCCTCCTTCCGGTTGCCAACTAATTGGATATTGGTAAAATCAAAACGGCAGGCGCGTTACCACAAATATTTCTTAAAGCTTACTAATGACCAATGTCGCGTGCTCCAAGTGACCCTGACGTCAGCGGCGATCCCAAAAATCTGAGTTATCGCGACGTGTTCAGTGATCCATGAACCGAGAATGCCGGGCGCAGCTGCGTCCGGCATGGGAGTCGAGTTGAATGAACTGAATTTTCGATCAGATGAATTTTAGATCAAATGCTTTGCAATCAGGTGGTTGTCGATTTGGTGGTTTTTCGATTTTCCGTACCAGCATTCCAAAAATAACAAATGGAACCAGAAGTAATGGGTACCGCGACACTTGCGGCGCGGACACTTGCGGCGCGACACTTGCGGCGAGACACTTGCGGCTGCGACACTTGCGGCGCGACACTTGCGGCGCGACACTTGCGCCCGACACTTGCGGCGCGACCTTGCGGTTATTTAGTATAAGCTATATAAAAATAGTCGAAGGTGTTATTTGATAAGCTGCGTCCGAATTTGGTATTAAAAAATTATAAAAAGTTGGGTTTGCGACAGAAGTCACTCAGTTTGGAGGGAAAGTGATCGCTACCTCCTCCGCTCTGCGACTAAAAAAAGGCTTCGTGCCACCCGGGGCTGCCGATTCTGGGCACACCCCGGTTGCCATGCTGCGAGGTTTCCCGTAGTCAGTGAGCTACTTACGCAAAAAACATGCTGTTGATAGGGTATTCAAGGTCTCCGCAAGCCGACGTCAGGTTATAGGCGAAATCTTCCAGCGCGCAGTCGTACCACTGGAACGGCGATTTGTTTGACTCGTTTTAACCCGATTAACAAGACTTTGTGGAAAGATTGATCTTTATCCTAACAACCGCAGGCGCTACAAAAACTCACAAGTTTGTACATGTTCTGGGCGCCGGGCAGTTTGTCGGTCTTGTTGGGCGCCATTCCCTGAGCCAGCATCTCGCGGTAGAAATTCATGCGGTAGATCGCTGTCCATCGGAATTCGTCGTATATCTAAGCTCGCGCTCCACCTAATCCAAGGCTTTAACGAAGAGAAAACGTGAGGAAATTTATCGCATTAAGCAAACCTACATCAGCGTGACACCGTTTGCGGTTTGTGAGCTTGAGTGCGGACGAAAGCTAGAAATAAGCGTTTTCGTGGCAGGGAAGTAATAATTAATAATGATATCACCGTAGTAATTTGAATTACACTTACGATTATGGCCTGAAGGAACGGCAATAGATAGCGCATCTCGCTTTTTGGTGCAGGACGCACGAACCTTGAAAGTTTTCGGGCTTCCGATTTTTGCACGGTCAGCTCGTTAAAATCGGGTTATCTGGTGGAACAAAGCTAAACTGAACCTTTGGTTCCGTTCCTGGCAGCTAGCCGGTAATCCACGCCCAATTTTCGGTCGGCAAAAGAGTAGAAGAGTAAGTGCGTGTATACCAAGCCCATTAAAACAACTATTATACACACAAGTGTACAATACAGTTTTTACACTTTCAGCATCCCATTTTCATGTTGCAATAGTTTTGAGCTATTTCACAGAGCCACACAGATCTTTATGCACGAGGTATAAATGTCCCACATCGAAAAAGGTTTTGTACATTTCAGAGATTAGTAATCATCGAAAGTGATGAAGTGCCGGGCTAGACTTGGCATAAGCCCTCCGCGACAATACAGGTCCTGCCGCTTCCGCAATCCGCATTTGTCTGGCAGGCCGGTCCGGGTTCGTAGATCAGTTGGTACATGTAGTTACCGCTAAAAAGAAGGGGTTGGGAGAGAGAGCGAGAGAGAGCGAGAGGATGGGAGAGTGAGAGTGAGAGAGGTTCTTCAAACTTACGCAGGTTTGTACTGACAGACGACGTAGGTGAACGTAGGGCAATGAATCCATCCGCAACCCACTTGAGTGGTTTCTTGCCAAGCCATCTAAAAAAAAGCCATTCAGTGAAAGTTTAGTGTTAGAAAGGCCTATTTTAAATCGTTTTTACGTGCCTGCGTATAGTGTCCAACGCCTCTTGCCCAGACGGCGTCTGTCAGATTGACTTCGGGTCCAACTCCGTACTGTACCAGTTCTTTCCACCAGAGCTGCGAGGCCTAAAAGTGTCATTTTGTACCTAGCTCTCTCTCTCTGTAGCGCTCTCTCTCTCTTTCTCGCGAACTCGCTCTCTCTTTCTCTCTCTCTCGCGAACCCGCTCTCTCTCGCTCTCGCTCTCTCTCGCTCTCTCTCCACCTACCGCAGTAAGAGCAGCAGCCGGATCCTGAGCGTTATCACTGCTCATATACAAGTTCTCTCCAGTATTGTTCCTGTTTGTCGAATGAGCATAGTTGCATTGCGCTCCCCACTCGTGGGCTGTCTTTTCGGCGACACAACTGTATGTCTAAAGACAAGGTCTAGATTGATAGCTGAGCTTTTAAGGTACCATCTTGGTCATCCTCTTCGCGGGTGGGGCATTTCCTCCAGCTCCATCGGGTTCGTTGCCCTTGGCCAAGCTCGATCTCAGCTGATTGTGCCATTGGAGGACGAGGTTTCGCTGAGCATCGGTCAGGCTGGCCGGGGTCCCGGGACACTGGGTATTGGCACCGGAGTCTAGAAGGGTGAGAGGTCAAGGTATCCAGGATTCGATGCTGGGGGTACGCCTAGGATCGTCTTCAGAAATGAAATTAGAGCTGGAGGTATCGAACGTAAGCGCGACGCAACGCTAAGCATTACCTAATGCAACGTAAGGTAAGCTCACCAGTATACTTGTATTGGCATAGTCCAGTGGCCGCATCACAAGTACTTCCGACGAAGGAGGTACAATCCGAGTCGATGACGCACTTGGCACCGACCTGGTAAGCTGCATCTCCGGTGGCTGCGGCACTAGACGGATATCTTAATGACCATTACATCCTAGATACCTTGCATCAAACACACAAGCCATGTAGTATCCATAGGGGTATGTAGGGTTGGTGGTGTTACAGTCCATCCTGTAGGAGCAACCAACACGGGTGCGGCTTCCGGTTGCGTACTAAAAAGATGGTTTAGCGAGAGAAATGGAGAGAGGGAGAGAGGGAGAGAGAGAGGGAGAGAGCGAGAGATAGAGAGATGGAGAGAGAGAAACTCACATGAGCCCAGTTCGCAACAGCAGCGGTAACTTTAACATCAGCTGCAAGTCCGTTGGTCTGTGCCAATTTGATGTGGCCGGTCATCAGAGTGAGGAGAGATCCTGGAGCTGATGAGGCAGGTATTGGACCCGATGACATTCCGCTAAAGGTAGGTGATATTCAAGATTTTTCGGACGCATTTTATGGCTTTTTCGAGCCCGCAAAACACGCAGATATAACTCACGAGATAGCAACAGCATTCGAGGGCCAGGCTCCGCCATTTCCACAGGTGGAGGTGAACTGGTAGGCGATGTCCTCAAGCGAGCAGTCGTACCACTAAATTTACTGGATTCTCTAGCTCACTTTTGCACTCACCCCCCTGTCTCTCTCTCCCTCTCTCGTTTTCGCTCTCTTTCTCTCTCTCTCTCGCTCTCTCTCTCAAAAACCCACAATCTTGTACATATTCTTGGCAGCCGGCAGGGTTCCACACTTGTTGGGCGCTGTTCCGTTTGCCAACAACTGACGGTACATGTTGATGTTGTTCAGAGCGGTGTAGCGGAACTGGTCCGTCACCTTAACCAAGACAACCCATGAGGTTACATGATTCCCAACATTACCTGTGCTCGACAGTTCATTTCATTGCTCAGGGTGGCGGCGGCTGACAGCTGCAAAAGTCGTTATTTTTGGGGGTACTCTACTAGCATAAATCAATCGACATCAGGGATAGGGTCGCGTTAGCAATCTGCCAACATGCTACTGCTCGCGTTTTGCCATTAATGCGTCATGCACTAAACTCGAGAAAATGAGACGGAGGACGACAGTCTCGTCTTCACTAGGCCTTTAAAAGGACCTGGACGCGGTAAGTGGTCATTAATGGGTCTTTCTAACCTACTAGATACTGAAAACCTAGTTTATTTGTTACATTAATCCTCAAAACTGCCAATTTCCTTTTCCCCAGACTTACCACAAAAGCGCTGAGGTACGGTAGCAGTAAGCTGCTCATCTTGAGGTCCTCTGGCTCGGTTGGCTGCGCGGAATTCGGAGTTCAACGTATTCGACCCTCGGCTGGCTGGGTACACATGGAATGTGGCGAGTGGCCCCCCGAAAGTTGCAGGTCCATTTAAATACCCCGAGTTCTCGTGATTGAACACCTGCAGCCAGGCGACCCTCCTGCACGAGTAGTCCTTCTAAAAATTCACGGAATTTGCATTGGACCATTTTTTGAGGGCGCCACGAAGCGTTTGGCTTTTGGCCGTCGGCGAGTCGGGTGGTGTGTAGTGTAGTGCTGCGGAATTTCTACAGAAAAAGGCAAAACTACCATTTTTCTGGGTGTTTTTCTGCAGTGTAGCGGAAAGTTAAGTGATCATAAATCGGGACTGTAAAGGGTAGTGCCACGGAATTTCTACTTTTCGGGTAATTTTTACGTTTTTTGGAGTGCAGCGGAACGTTAGGTGATCAGAAACTGACAATGTTGCAAATTGACTATAGTTGAGTCGAAAAACACCGCTTTCGTACCTTTCAAGCAAGTGAGAGAGAGATAGCGAAAGAGAGAGAGAGCGAGAGAGAAAGAGAGAGAGCAAGACAGAGAGAGAAAAAGCGAGGGAGAGAGCCAGAGCCTGAAACGCTATTTAAGTGTAAGGCAGCCTGGTCAGAGCCACACAAATCTTTATGCACGAAGTATAAATGTCCCACATCGAAGTTTTTTGTACAGATTAGAGATTCAGGTTATTAGAGTGGCTAGACTTGGCATAAGCCTTCGTCCACCAGGCACGTCCGCCCACTTCCGCAATCCGCATCCGTTTGGCAGGCCGGTCCGGGCTCGTAGATCAGTTGGTACATGTAGTTACCGCTAAAAGGCAGAAGTTAGCTATAGAGATAGAGAGAGAGAGTTCGAGCGAGCGAGAGAGAGAAAGAGAGAGAGAGCGAGAGAGACAGGGAGAGAGCAAAACTTACGCAGGTTTGTACTGGCAAACGACGTAGGTGAACGTAGGGCAATGAATCCATCCGCATCCAACTTGGGTCGTTTCTTGCCAGGCCATCTTAAACCGGATTTTTAATTTGAATTAAAGTAGAGTTTATGCTATTTTACATTTTTACGCACCTGCGTATAATGTCCGACACCTTTAGCCCATACTGCATCCGTCAGGTTGACGTCAGGACCGACTCCGTACTGCACCAGTTCCTTCCACCAGAGTTGAGAGGCCTGAAATCGGAATTTGAAATCTCTCTCTCTCTCTCTTTCTCCCTCTCTCTCTCTCTCTCTCTTCCTCTTTCTCTTTCTCTTGCTCTCTCTCGCTCTCGCTCTCTATCTCGTTCTCTCTGTCTCTCTCCATCTCGTTCTCTCTCTCTCTCGCTCTTGATCTCTCCTACTTTCACTGTCTCTCTCGGGGCTCCCGCTCCCTCAAAACCTACCGCAGTAAGAGCAGCAGCCGGATCCTGAGCGTTATCACTTGTCATATATAGATTTTCCCCGGTGTTGTTCCTATTCGTCGAATGAGCATAGTTGCACTGCGCTCCCCATTCGTGTGCCGTCTTCTCCGCCACGCAGCTGTATGTCTATAACAACAAGCTTTTACCTGGTTAGATAGATTTCGGCATTCTTTCAACATCAAGCCCCATGTTTTTTGGGGCCGAAGACCAGGAGAGAAAGGGAATTTTTTTGATGTTCGCGGCAGGTCGGCATTGCCACGCGGTCGTATTGGCTGCGCAAATATGAAGCGCCAGTCTAACTAACCGACCTCGTTCGTTTTCCCCCTTGAAATTTTAGTTTATGGTTTCGAAACATTTGTTGAAAATTGAAAAGGGGTGGTATTAAAATGAAACCTACGAAATATCTAGGAAATACTCAGCGGAAAACTTTATTAAAATCATACCAAGCACTACCTAGTTACGTAGAGGTGCGACTAGGGAGATTGACCCAATTCTAACAAGACACACAAAGTAAGAAAGGGGACCGCCCACGTCCAATAACCCCCGATTTAATACAACAATATCGAGCTTCGACCCTGGCTTGTAGGCTTCGAAAATCAGGTTAATTTACTGCCATCTTGTAAACTTACCATCTTGGTCATTCTCTTAGCGGGTGGGGCATTTCCTCCGGCTCCATCGGGCTCGTTACCCTTTGCGAGGCTCGATCTCAACTGATTGTGCCACTGGAGTACGAGTGTGCGCTGGGCATCTGTCAGGCTGGCTGGGGTACCAGGGCACTGGGTGTTGGCACCGGAGTCTGGAAGAGATACGGTTAAGCTATCGAATTATCGAAATTTAAGGCACTGTTGAGATTTCCGAGCATTCTACACTTCTCGTCACTCTATTTACGCCTCGAAAACAGTAAATCGCGAGTAATTTCCGTTTTCATAAGTAATTGATTGGATTGAAAAACCCACCGGTATATCTGAACTGGCACAGCCCAGTCGCGGTCTCGCAAGTGCTTCCGGCATTCAAGGTACAGTCCGAATCAGCCGCGCATTTGTCGCCAATTTGGTAGGCCGCATCACCCGTTGAAGCTGCGCTAAAAAATAGCTTATCCCCCGTTTACAAGTCTTCCGTTACTTGTTCGAACTACAGACTACTAAACTCCCTTGATTGGGTCATCAAGGCCTAGGTTTAAGCCACCCACCTGGTGTCAAACACGCATGCGATGTAGTAACCATACGGTAGACCTAACGCTGCGGGACAGTCCATCTTATAGGAGCAGCCAACACGGGTTCGGGCGCCGGTTGCGTACTGGAAAAGTCTTGGGACTACCATTTTTTCCACGATAGGCTTTATTACGACAATCTAGCTGATCATGAAACCTTAACTTAAAACTCGCTGTAATGCTCTTGGGGTTCTGACTACAGTAATCCCCTAGACGATCGGCAATTTCAATAAACTTACATTGCTCCAATCCGTGATACCAGACGCAATCTTCACATCAGCACCGACTCCAGTGGTCGTCGCCTGCTTCAGATGGCCGCTCATGAGCGACACCAGCTGCGAGACGGCTTGCGCGGAGGTCATTAGGGAGGTGGTGGCACCCCTGAAAAATTTTGAGTTGAAGGAAGCAGTCTTTGAAGGCTGGTATCCCAGGAATTAATTAAAAACGTGACGTTTAACTTAGACTTACGAGATAGCGATCGCATTTGATGGCCAAGCTCCTCCATTTCCGCAGGTCGATGTGAACTGGTAAGCGATGTCCTCGAGCGAGCAATCGTACCACTAAAATTTATTCGGTCGTATCTATCGCTTGATTTCTCTCTCTCTCTCTCTACCTCTCTCTCTCTCGCTCTTTTTCCTCTCTCTCTCTCTCTCACAAAAACCCACAATCTTGTACATATTCTTGGCTCCGGGCAGTGTCCCGCATTTGTTGGGCGCCGTTCCATTCGCCAACAACTGACGGTACATGTTGATGTTGTTGACGGCCGTCCATCGGAAGTCGTTGATCACATCCGACCGACAACTTGTGTCGTGCGTCGGCGTAGCGGCAAAAGTGGTGATCTGGAAAATCGTAGGGTAATTTTGCAAGCTACAATAAAATTGTGATTTCTGGTTTTAAAGGGATTGAGAAGGCAAAATTTCAATCCATGAATTTCGGGCAGGCAAAATTTTTGCCGTTTAGGCCATTATTTAGGCACTACCGTAGATCAGGTATTCCCAAAAAACGATTACTTACAGTAATGGCCAATTGTCGATTTGTCAGAATCCACAAAACCACAGATCTTTTACTTGCGCGGCCCTTTAAAAAAAAATAAAACCGTCGTTTTTCGAAAATGCACTTTGATTCAAAACGCGATTTTGGGTTTAGGATTGGGCTTAGCCTTAAGCTTCGGATTCGCGTTGCTGAGGCGCGGGCTTAGGCTTAGGCCTAGGCTTAGGAATAGGCCCAGGTTCAAGCTCAGGCTCAGGCTGGAGGCGGGCTCGTGCTTATGTTCATGCTCATGCTTAGGCTTAGGCTTCCGATTACACCTAGGATTCGGCTTGGCTTGCACTCCTAGGCTCGGAGCAAAGTTTAGACTTGGTCCAATCATGGAAAAACAGACTTCTGGTACTTAAATATACCTTAAGGCAAATTTAAAACCTTAAGCCTACCACAAGTCCGGCGAGGTACGGTAGCAGGCGACGGCTCATCTTCCCCCAAGCTAGCTGATCGGTGTTCAGAGTATCGGGACGTCTGCGCACGGGAGCTGTGTACACATCTGACTCTGGCACCCCACCACTACAAATTACCCCACCCTCTTATATACCAGTATTACGCGCTGGGTGGGGTATTGGAACACCTGTTCGCCGTAAAGCGAAAAACTTCATCCCTTCGGATCTTTGGATTTTTGGCCCGAATTCGGTGCTGGAGTTGCGTGGAAATGGCCGCATCGGCACGAATTTGCCTGGAAAATGAAGCTCGGGGCACGGATCCGATCAGAAATCGTGGGAGCCGGGCGATGTGATTTCTGCCTGTTCGGAATTTCGATTTTTGGGTGACTGGAGTTGTTTGGGGTTGCCTATAGTGTCGCCTAATTGGGAAACGCTCTGCTGCCTTGACGCTCTACCATTTTACCGACCTTACGGTAGCGCCGCAGCACCCACGGAATTCAGTTTTCGAAAGCCGTAAGACTCAAAAACGGTAAACTTATACGGTATTGTATTGGACACTTCATTATATTTATTTATTTATTTTTATATTTATTCTCACACAAAGTTCGAAGTTGGGTTTTTGTTCATTGCAAGGCCCTTTATTGGAAGTAACAACCAGAAAAAATTCTACTTAGCCGTATCGAAAAGCTTTTCGGGTTTTTTTTGAAAATGAGGGGAACAAGGAATTTTTGGAGCACAAATACAAATTCTCTTAACTATCCACGTTTTCATGCGGAAAATATTTTTTCTTTTGTGGACGCAATAAAACCAACCGCGTGGATAAGTAAACCTTATTCGATAGCCGTAAATAAAGATATTGTGGGCACAAAATAATAATTAGATGCATTTTCTTGTCGTTGGTTTCGAACAATCTGAAATGCTTTAAGCCGGCGTTTTCAATGATTGTGGTTCAATTATTCAATTTTGATTGTGGGAGTGGGCTTCCATTTAGCGAATAGATGCTCTTCGAATTTCTTCTGCCATAGTGTAGTTCAAAATCAAATAAGTTCAAAAAGCCGATTAGTCCCCGCTATTCGCCGGTTTATTTCTTCAAAAGGGGGGGGGGGGGGGGGGCACGGAGGAAATTCTCGGCCTGGGGGGGGGGCCGATGGTGATTAAGCAAAATATAGAAATCGATTGACTGGTGATCGCTGAAAGGATGCTGATCAGCGACTCGTGCTTATATCGTGACGCTTGGTCCCTAAAATCCTAAACCTAAAAGCAGCACGGCAGATTGCTGCCTTCAAATTCATGATTTGGTGCCTTTAACTTCCTGTGGAGGTTTAAAATGCATGACTTATACTAAAGCTAAGATGCGGGCCTAGGCTCAGGCTCACACATAAGATTGGGCTTAATATCCAGATTAAGCATCACTTTATGCTGTTTTGCGTTGTATCAGATCTTAACATGTTCGAAGAACGATACTCCAAGGTCAATCTTTACCCGAAAGTCTCCAACGATCTTTGCCAGCCTGCCTCCTCACTAGCTTAAAACCCATTCTTTTTTATGGCTGCTAGCTCTCCGTATTTTGAACTTTACATACTTACTCTGGAAATTTTCCACCTGGTGCCTTTGCATGGATTTTCGTAATCGTACAACTCGTGTGGCACTCGCGTCCCACTGTTTGTTTTAGCAACAGGATCGTCTCCAATGATCTCTGCTAGGTCTCATCTATCTCTCTCCCTCTCTCTCCCTCTCACTCTCTCTCTCTCTCTCTCTCTCTCTCTCTTTCTTTCTCCCTCCCAATATCATTTCTGACTTGCCTTCGTCTATATGTAAAATCTGCTGGCTTCATTTTCATACTTAAATTAGCTCTTTGATCCCCTCTTCCACTAGCCGTTCACGTGCCTCCCTCGGCTTTTGGAAAGTGCTGCTTGGTCTTCGCGACCATTTCCAATTTTCTGCCTGCATATTTGTGACCTGCCTACCCGGGCGGTCAAGGCCCATTTTATTTGACTAGCCGGTTACCCCGAGAAATCGCGATCCGAGGGCCACGTTTTTGAGGGTGGCAAATTTTCGACATTTTTGGTAGTCTCGCTCAGGAAAAACTCGTTGGGATCGGTTTTTCAGCTCGAGAGAGAAGGCTTAAAAACGAATGAAAGAATGAGTCAGGGCTAACCCTAAATCTAACCTAAGCCTAAGCCTAAGCTGAACCTAAGCCTTAGCCCAAACCTAAGCCTAAGCTGAAGCCTGAGCTTAAGCCATAGCCTAAGTCCCAGCCTAAGCCGATGCGTAAGCTGAGCCTAAGCCTAGCCTAAGCCCCAGCCTAAGCCTACGCGCAAGCTGAGTTTAAGCTTACGCCTGAACCGAAGCCTAACCTTAGTCTAGGCCTAAAGTTAAGCATAAACCTAAGCGTAACTGAAGCCTAAGCCTAAGCTAAGTCTGAGCTTGCCTCTGCCTCTCACGGTCGATATGTGTATGCAAAGTGCCGGTCAGGAATAATTTTGTTTGCAAGCAAAAGGGGCCCTTATCGCACCGGGTTTCTGGCCGTTCCCATATCGATCTCCATCCCCCTACCAGGCAAACATCGATTCCCAATCGTCTATGCCGATATCTAGGCAATTCTTGAATACCGTAAAGTGAGGACGCTTTAGATATTAGTACGCTTATTTAGACGAAGAAAGATCCCTATATTGATTGGCGCGATTTTTGGGTTTATTTTCTTCTGGTATCTGAATGGCCGACATCGTGGAGCGGAAATACCAAGAATTAAACTTGGAAATGAACCTGTAAGTTTAATATTGTTATTAGAGCGTGAGAGAGCGGTGGAAAGAGAAAGAGAAGAGAGAGAGCGAGCAAGAGAAAGAGTGGTGTGAGTGAGAAAGCGGGAAGGTGAGAGAGAGAGAGAGAGAGAGAGAGAGAGAGAGAGAGATAGAGAAGAGCGAGAGAGAGACACACACAAAGTGACAGAGACAGGAGACAGAGAGAGAGAGAGAGAGAGAGAGAGAGAGAGAGAGAGGAGACAGCTACTGAGGGAGGGACAGCTAGTATATTCCTAATAATGTGCTTACAGGTCCAATTTACCATCGAAAACCTATCTGGCAAGCCCTTCGACTATGACCTCGTCTGGTATTTGGATCGTTTCGGATTAACCGAGGACCAAATTAAACTCCAGAAATCAATACCTATCAAGTACTTTTCAAATCTATTGTGATTTTTTAAATATTAAGATCTTCTGATGTCACTTTCATAATGTACAGCTCATCAAATCATTTCCGGGAAAGTCGGTTGACGCTTCGGCATTTTAGAAATTTTTATAACAATTCGATTATTTATTATGATCTCGGGTTGGACGAGGACCAGGTAAGGTGGAAAAATAACCGAAAGAGCTTAATATGCTAATCAACAAGCAATTTCCATGATTAGTTACTTTTAGCGCGAAGAACTCGATGAAGTCTGCAACTTGCAAGTCAGAGATTTCGATTTTGAGAGCTATCCGAGGCATGTGAGACAGTTGACGACATATGGGTTTAAGGTCATCATTGCTGCGGTAAGTAGCTATCCCTCTATCCCTCTCTCTCTCTCTCTTTCTCTCTCTCTCTTTCTCTCTCTCTCGCTCTCTCTCTCTCTCTTTCTCTTTTTATCGCAGTTTTTACGTTTTTTAGGAAATGCTACTCGAACATCCCGCTTTTTGGATGGTGGACACTTCTGTACATCTGGATTCGCCCAATTGCCTCTCGAAAGTTTATGAAGCTGTGAATAACGGGACTGTAAGTGTTTCTCTCTCTCGCTCGCTCTCTCTCTCTCTCTCTCGATTTCTCTCTCGCTCTCTCTTTTTCTCTCTGTCTCTATTGCTCTCTATCGCGTTGCAAATGTAGCCTCCAATTTTCAGGCCCCAGATTTTGTGATGGGCCAGGTGGTCGGAAAACAAATGGCGTATACATACCCCGGTAGGATTTTCATCGTTTGTACGTTAGTTATGCTTCAGGAAAGGTTTAATAGCAGCAGTTAATGTCAATTATGCTTTTAGAAATGTTCGACTACCTCCCTTTCCCTACAAAATACCACGATGAACACCAGAGAGAGGCGGTGGTTTTCTACCATAGGAGTCAGCAGAGCAAAAGAATATTGAAATGGTAAGCCTACTTTTAGGCGCCTTCGATTAATCAATGTCAGTTTTCTATAGTTGTTTATCAAATGTAGAATTCGAAATTCCAGGTTGCTACTTTGCGCCCTAACGGAGGGCTGCATAGCTCCCAGGAATTCGTTTTTCGATTGGATAACTTTTCGGGCAAGCGGGTACCATAGGTAAGATTGAGAAAGAGAGAGAGAGAGAGAGAGAGAGAGAGAGAGAGACTGACAGGGAAATGTGAGGAATAAAGATAATCCGAACTATTTTCTACTTTTAGGTACGACCAGAGTGCGGGTACAATTCTTCGCAGCGCCTTCATCCGCCAAAACCCAATCCAATTCGCCTACGTTCACGACTGTGCCAAAGTCGAACGCGGAATGCCTGACGACGAGCCGCTGCAGAATATTTGCCACTATTAATATCCCTGGTGCTCTTTTCTCACGGGTTTTTCAATAAATTTTGAATTTTATTTCGGTTCTCATTCTTCTTGAACTCCTAGTCAGTTAGTTCTTGGATTGAAAAATAGCATCATAAACATGACGAGCGCGGTACCAAGAACTAAAATTAACTTGTTAGCTAAAAAATTCTTAACAAACCCAGTAATTCTACGCCCCCAAGGATGAGCCAGAGAACAGTGGAGAGCAGGCGGAAGCCGATCAGCCCAAATAGAAGGATTAGGACAAACGAGACGAGCAGGCGTTGATCGTCTAGGTTCCGGAGACCGGTGGTTCTTTCTGCGCTAAAAAAAAGAAAACGCCTGTTCTGTTCCAATCTCAATAAAAAGAAAAAAATTGTTTTTATTAAAACGCCCAACCTGGCAAGTGCGTAGCCCGAATCCACTTCCACGATCCCGGCTGAATTTTGAGCAATGGCGACTCGATGTTGATTTCGTAGCGGGCGAGCGCGGTGGGATCGTTTCGCTTCCGCCAACTCCCTATAAAATGGGTGATTCGGAATCGTTTTCTTGAAACCCAATTTTCTGCTAAATTTCTAGTCAATTTGAGCAACAACGAATTCATTGTGTCGAAATTTCATGTTATCTAAACTGTCGATAGAAAGGAACACCGAAATTTTGAAATTTCGGAATCCTGAAGCTTTATAACGTCGCAATTGCATCTTTTTGAAATTACGTATTTCGATAGATCACAATATAGAAATTTAAGATTTGGAGGCTTTTAAAAGATTAAGAATGCTGAAATTCCAATGTTAGAACGGGTCCCCTAAATCTACTATATATAAATTTCTAATGTCCGTACGCCCGCCGACCGCCGACCGGGAATTCAATCTCGCCGCGATCCCCCTGTCTACCGTAGTCGGGGGCTGAAAATTTTCACCGGAGCCGCGCCGTTTCGCCTTTTTCCCCGAAAGGGCCAGGGTAGAAAAAAAAAGTTTCAAAGGGTATTGTAGCCATTCCGAGGTTTTAGGATGTTTTTTATTATCTAAGAAGGGGAAATAACTTTCTTTCAAGGGTATTCTAGCCATTACGCGTTTCTTAGATTTTTTTTTAGTATCCAAGAAGGGATATAACTTTCTTTCAAGGGTATTCTAGCCATTACGCGTTTCTTAGATGTTTTTTTAGTATCTAAGAAGGGGAAATAACTTTCTTTCAAGGGTATTCTAGCCATTACGCGTTTCTTAGATGTTTTTTTAGTATCTAAGAAGGGGAAATAACTTTCTTTCAAGGGTATTCTAGCCATTACGCGTTTCCTAGATGTTTTTTTTAGCTCGAAGAAGGGGAAATAACTTTCTTTCAAGGGTATTCTAGCCATTACGCGTTTCCGATGTTTTCTTAGTATCAAAGAAGGGAGAGAACTTTCTTTCAAGGGTATTCTAGCCATTACGCGTACAGAGCTTTGCTTCTAGGGGGTGTGCTGACCATTACACTTCCCTTCTACTTTTGTTTAAGATCAACTACGGATGTTGGGGGGTAGGGGGGTTCTTTCAGGGGGAAGAGCAGGAGTGGAAGGTTCTTTGGTTTTGGAGGACGGGCATAGGTAGATCACGGAAGGTATTCGCGCCAAGCGGAAAATATACTAAAGAGAATGGGAAGCACCCTGTATTGCCTTGCCCCCCGGGAGGGCCAGTCGATAGCAGCCGCGAAGCGGCTGATATCGGCTGGTACTATCTAAAATTTCACCATTCTGATCACATAAACAATGCGTCCTTGGCTTACTTGGCCTTCAACAAAACTTAACACTTACTTGACTGCCTCTATGAGAAGGCAAAAGCCGCCGGCGATTCCAAACAAAAGCAAAAGACCGATCCCAGCCAAAACATCCACAGCCGCTTCTCGCCGACGGTTCTCTTCTCGCTGGCCGTCCGATTTACCGGCCATTAAAAGAAATTAAATGAAATAAGAATTATATTTCGAAATGGGTTGGTATTATGAGGGGTTCTGCGCCGTTTTGTTGCTACAGAAAATCCAGCCAACTTACTTGTCAAGCCTTTTGGGGGATAATCGATAAAAATGACAAGCCGGTGGGGCTATCCGAGACCTGACAAGAACGGATAGTAATTACCTATTAAAAGTAGTGAGTCAGCCATCATTTCTCTTTCAACATGACATATCGCAATTTTATATAACGAAGAAGCGGTAGGCATAATTTATTAATAAAAAACTAATTAGAAAACATAATACGGTGGAAGAGAGCATAAGAGAGAAAGAAAGAGAGCCCATATATTGCCGAGTAAAACCTGCTACCTAACACTTCCGGAAGCTTTTTCCGGCATTTTTTATGGACCATTGAAGTTATGATTCTTTAATTGCAGAACAAACAATACGTTGTAACTTTTTAAAAATTGTCATTTTACAACTTTTGAAAAGAGGTTCGGAATCAGCGTAAAATTCTACACAAGATAAGCTTGGTTTGATTTCAAGTTTCCAACCTGAGTGGAAACACTTTACTATCTAACATGAAAATGGTCGCCGTCTTACTAATGAAGAAATACGATAATGGAGAAATCATCATCATCATTCCAAAGGTTCCACCGAAGTCGGGTCGGAAGGCTGCTGCTGCGTCTCCTAAAGAACGGTGTCCGTTTCTTAGTACGTTACGAACCTCTTGACGCTTCCTTACGAGCAAGTAAATGACCGGTACACCATAGAGCACTATATATTCACCGTTATTTCAGAATTCAAATCCTGACCAAGAAATCCTGTAGCCTCCCATGGGGCCTCGAACAGCAGCCATCTCAACAGGGCAAGACAACATGCGATTCCAATAGCAATGATGAGCAACGTCAGAAATTTGACTACCCGCACGTGGTCCCCACGTACCAGGCTATTCATGACTTGTACTCTATAGGATTCTATTTAGGTTATTGTAGGGCTAAAAACCATTTCTTGCAATGCTATTGAATCGATTTAGGTCTTCGGCTTTTAGAATTCCGGAACAAGAGCGAAGTTTAAAAACGAGCCATTACCAACGGGTCACTAGTTTCGATTAAAACGGTTCCATCTAGGGATCCCTCTCTTGGAGATTGAAATACTCATGGGTATATCACAACCTACCGGAAAAACGGGGGCGTAACTTGTAGCAAGAAAAGAGTATAGAAAAGACCAACGCAGACTTTTAGACGATGAAACGCCTCTGCGGCCAAATGAGAATAATTTGGTTCCATTTTGCGATGGAGATGGCAGCAGGTAGGAGGTGAAACTCGAAAAGCTAAGCCGCTAATAAACCCACGAAAACGGATTATCAGTGTACGGGGAGGAGGTTATGTGTTTCGTGTCATATTTTCTGGCGCAAGCCATTAGAAAAGCCCTTGGTGGCGACGACGACGCAGGGAGAAATTCCACCACACGTGATCAATCGACGCAGAAAGCATAGAATGATATCACTGTTAAAGCGGTTTAGCCGATCAACTGAAAATAATGGCTGTTACGAAAATTAACTTAAGTACGAAATTATGGTATTCGTATAATCACCGTTGAACCTGTAGCTTAGGAGCCGTAGCAACAACCTGATCTCTGTTTTCAAGATTCTTTCGTGAAAATAGTCATTTCGCACCCCTGCTACGATAATACTGTACTTTTTTGTGCAGTACGCGGTGCGGTGCTTTATATTATTTTTTTATTGACTTGGTGTTACTTTATTGCATTTTCAGGATCTTTTCCCACAGAACAAATATCGATAATTTATTTTCACGCTCCGAGTTTTTGAGAGTTTAAATTTTTTTTTCTGCGGAAAAGCGGATAAAGTTCTCACAAGTTATGTGTTGTCTTAAAAGCCGGCTTAACAACATCAGAAAAGCGCTACAGTATCCCGATGCTCTCGAAATAGGAGGAAAATAGCTCCAAACAGTCATTTCAAATCCTTCGTTTTTATGTGATAACGTCCGTGGTCAAGGATAGATACTTTTATACATAATTGTCGAATAAAGGTTACCGTACCATTAAATTTAGTCATTTGCCGCATCAAGTTTTCACCTCTCATCCACTCTAGTCTCATCCCCAAATCGTAAACATCAAAAATTTCGTTCTTTTGGTTCCGATGCTCACTGCCCCTCAATCTCGTGCTCATCGGTGACATCCCGCGTCCACTACCGCAACAGTCCTCCTCTCGGGCCAGGGTTATTTGGCCCGGTGCCAGCACGTGCTTTCGTCATGGGACCCGGGCGGGGGACGGGTGCGTCGCGTGTGCGGGGGGAAATGCGCCAAAGGCCTCGCACCCACCCAGCATCGAACCACATGAACTTTTCAGGGTTGTTAGGTATCAGAAATCATTATTTTCGCACCAATAATTAGCGTTTAGACCGCAAATTGCTAAATTTGAGCTATTCAATTGACGGGGGCCCTTTAATCACACCCTATTTATGCTTGGATTTTGCTTTAAAGCTGATTTCCCAAAATTACTTATTTTATATGCGAAAATATACTGTTAACTCATCAATAAACTCGAAATATTAGGAGATACGCTTTCATTCTAATACCTTTAATGCTCAGGCGCAAAATTTCCAGAATTTTGGAGCTTTTACCCTCTTATCGTCAAATTTCAGGTATTCCACTCTAATTTTGAGGATACCTTGGTTTTCCCGACATTTTGCCTCAAGTTTTAACTTCAGAAATATACCTTGCAGGTCTTAAGCCTTTTCAGAAACTTCTAGAATTTTCAGAGTATTTTTTTTATTAGGCGGTGCAGACGATGCGTTGGATGTGAGTCATCCTCTAGGCAAAAAGTGAGGAAAATCGACCAGGGAGCGTGAATAATCCTGTTGCGAAAGCTAACCCTTCATTCTCAGCGTTTCAGATTCAGAAGCCTGAAAAGATGTGGCTTTATCCTCTTCTGATCCTTTCACAGGCGGGTCACGCAATTTAGCCCTCTTTAGCGTTAGAGCGCTTTAGATTGTCGGTAGGTAGCGTTCCGCCGGGAGCATCGGCACCTTGTTGCATTTCTATGATCTATTTTTCGATAAGAATAACTTTAATAGAGCCTCGTTTGCGTTTTCGCCAAAACTCCCCAGCCACGTTCCTTCTCTCCCCTTGACCCTTCTAGTGAGCGCCCTGGAGGTCTAAAATAAACAAATTTGGGCAGTGGGGGTGCGTTCGCCCAAATGGGTCGCGACTGACTAGAACCTTTTATCGATCCATACCGTGCAAATCGCAATGAAGTTCTTCAACCTCTCCGCACTGCTTCATAAAAGACCGTTTCATTGAATCATGCAACTCAACCCGGCTGTCTTGTCGTGTCTTGTCACTAGCGCCAGATCGAGCACAGTTGGTTCCACCAAAGCATCGAGAATTTACAGAGACTCTCTAGTGAAACCGATCCATTCCTTAGCGAGCACAGTCTTCTCGATATTGTTTTCGTCAATAGATATAACTTGCAAATTCAGTTTTTTACCGTAACACTACACAACTACGGTTACGTCAGCTACTCGCTACAGAACTGAAATGAATGCTAACTACATGAGAAAGAAGCAGAAACGGACGGGGTCCCAGCAATTCTCCAGATCTACCTTCTAAAACCGTCTCTCTGTCTTGCCTTTCCAGTACCTTTAATCCCTATCCCTACCCCTTTGCTGACGCTCGACGCAATATCCTATCCAGGAAGCCCCTATCCTTCGCTAGGCTGGACAGTCCAGCTGCCCTCCCTGCTGGCCAGGTGCCAAGGGTGCTGCTCTGGGTCTCTTACCCTTAACCGTTCTCTAATAGCGTTGTCATCTGGCTCTCTCTCTCTCTCTCTCTCTCGCTCTCTCTCTCTCCGTCTCCAAAAAAACATACTGCTCTTTGTAAGGGTCGGTGCGCTAGGGGAAATATGGGTCTTTGAGGGCGCGGCAGGAGGGATAGCCAATTGGTCCTAGGAATATGCGGTCAATTTCCGAGCAGTTTTAGGGTCGGGTATGACTTTTTAATTCACCCAAGGGTTCGATACAAGCCTTAAACTCACCTGAAAGTCTGAATCCCCTCGGAACCTCGTCCTGGTCCGATCCAAGTTTTAGCGTCGCTCTCTCTCTCTCTCTCTCTCTCGCATTTCCTGTAATTTGCACGTTGTTGTTGGTTTCCTAAAACGCACCCGTCCGCCCCCGTTCCCTAAAAAGTATAGGCGTTCTGCGCATCCCGACTAGGTATTCCGATCTCCCCACCTGTCACTATTGCCATCCCTAGCCCCCCCTTTTAGCTCGTTTTATCTCGTCTCGTCTCATTTTTACAGCCACCTTAGTCTGTGCGCCGGCTCTCTTGCTCTCTCTATCTCTCTCACTCTCTCTTTATCTCTCTTTCTCCGGATGCACCTTGCTCTCTAGTCGTGTCGATGGTGTCTAGGCCTTCGGTGTTTGCGCTCTATCTCGCTAGAGCTGGCCGTCTGGGTCACTCACTCTCTAGGCGCTAGCTGCAGGGTGACAAAGAGAGAGAAAGAGAGAGAGAGAGAGAGAGAGAGAGAGAGAGAGAGAGAGAGAGGCAGGGGATGTTAGAGAGGCCAGAGAGCAGGGGATGCACCGCGCAGTGGCGAGAGACCACAGGTCGCTGAGAGCCCCAGAGTGGCATCTAGCCACAGAGAGAGAGAGAGAGAGAGAGAGAGAGAGAGCCGTGTCAGCCCATCGACCGACCTCCCTTCCCCCAGCCACGGCGTGGTACTGACGCCCCCTGAGCAGCAGCCCGGCGTCGCGGCACCTCCACCCCGAACCCCCGCTTCCCCCTCCCGTGCCGATTTTTGTTTTCTTCTCGCCCCTTCCTTTTCCCTGACACCATCCCTTTTCGAGGAGTTCCGATTATTGATATGTTCTCCCGTTTCTACGCTGCGTCACCACTGGGGGTTATTGATTTTTGGTGGGGTTCGAGAAGGAGGCGTTCCGAAATTCGGAGCTTTACGGAAATTGTGCAACTTTTGAGGTTCTGGTATTTTCTTGTCTTTACCTCGAACTTACTTCTGAACGGCTATGATTTGTCCTCCTGTCACTGCGCTAGGCTTGATTCGATAGTTACGTAACTAGTACTTTTCTGGGGTCTGCAAGTTTCAAACGTTTTCCTGCACGAGCTGGTGCTCCTGCTTTTGCTCTTCTTTATTCCTGGTTTTGCTCTTGCTCAGTTCCAGCTCCTTTTCTTATTTCTGCTCTTGCTCCTGCTCTTACCGTCGCTGTTACTAGTGCTCTTTCGCCCGCTCTTGCTCCTGCCCTGACTCCTGCTCCTGCTCTCGCCGTTTGCTTAAGCTGATGGTTGATTTGAAGCCTATAGAGCTGCTTAACTTTCTTCGAACCTTGATCGCGTTTTCATCTTGATCCTGAAACTCGGCTAACGATCGCTTTTGCACTTGCTTAGTTTCTCTGTTTAAACCAGTTATATGCCTTTAGCTTGTACCTGTTTCTCAACCCAAAAGCCATCCTGAATCTTGAAAAACCTCACCAGCATTTCGCTACCACAGGCCGCGTCACTAACTCGGTCATCATGACCAACAAGTGCAGGCCAAGCTCCCTGAAATTCCGACCTTACGGGGCAATCTTATTGTTATAACAAACAGTCATGTGGTTCACGAAATTCAATCCAACTTATCGACCCTCGGTTTCGAGTCTCGTGAAGCTGTGACTCCGGTGCGGTTCTGGTCCCCGGGGCCGGTTTCACAGCCCCTCATTCCGAGTCATTCCGACCCGGGTGGTGTGGTGTGCACGCCGCCGACCGATATACACCCTCGCACCCCCGCAGAACTCCGCAGAACATGCATTGGCCTCCACGCGATCTAGTTGTACGAATTACGCTTAGTGACGCGTACATGTACGGGGGGAACAGAGAGCGGAGAAGGTATGATGGGATGGTTTGGTTTCTAGAATTAGAATTTTAGGAGCCGCTTGGGAGTTGCTTATTTAGACTTTAGATCTTGCTCTCTCGCTCTCTCACTCTTTCTCTCTCTCTCTCGCTCTCTCTCGTACTCCTTAAAAGCTTCCGTTTTTCAGTTTCGGAAGTTTCTAGCAATGAAATAATGCAATGCGCAAAGTTAGACGCGTTTCTTGATTATATATCCCCCTACTTCTCTCTCTCACTCTCTCTCTCTCCTTCTCCCGCTGTCTGTATCTCTCTCCCCCCTCTCTCTCTCTCTCGCATACTCGAGTTATCTATCTCCAAACCCTACCATCATTTTCAAAAGTCTCCCCCACCCTGAGCCCACCCGCCGAGCTGTTGAAGCGCTTTTCAAAGCGACCTTCCTTCTTCTTCTTTCAATCTGTTCTTCCCTTGCCTCTTTCCTGCCTCTTCTCCGCATGCCATTGATTCGCCAACTTTCGCTTTCCCTCGCCGTCTGCCGGCGGCTTGGCGCGCTTTTTTTAGTGCTTCCGAAAATCGATCCGGATCCAGCTCGGGATAGAATTTCTTCCCACATATTGACTTTTTCTTCTTTTAGAAATAAAAGACCTAACAACTTTTGGAAACATTTCTTCCCCCTAGATGTACTGCCGCTTGGTTTTTAATGTGTAATTGGTAGCATAGCTTGCCCTCGAATTGCTTCGGAAATGCGTTTTTCGCTGTAAAATCCAATCATTTACGCCTAGGCCTTCCTGAATAACCTTAATATACCTCAAAACTTGTCGAAATCACTTTTCAGGCTTCAGCACTTACAGTATGTTTTTCGGACTAAGCTACCTTAAAAATTCTCATGCTCATTCCACGTCCTCAGTTTAACCTCTGGATCACGCTAGGTCGTCTTAAGACTTTTCCTTCCTTCCACCCTCCTTCCAAACCGCCTCTAGCCTCATTTCCGGCTCAAACTCACGAGCAACGCAAATCAGAACCAGCAAACTTTATTGGTTTCTCTGCAACCCGCATCTGCATCCGCCCTCTCTTCTTCTTTTCATCCTTTTCAAACGTTCCTACAGAATACCCAACGGGTCCATCCCTCCCCCAGGCTTTGCAGGTCAGAATTGTGCCCTCCGGGGCTCTACGACCTAGATTGCGGGCTAGGATAGGGGGACTAGGCGTCTTTTTCGATGCACCACGGGGGGTTTGGAGGGGTTGGAAGGCGGGAAAGGGTTTGAAAGCGAGGGGCGGATGCTAATTAGCTTTTTTGGCCCTGTGTTTTCTAAAACTACATAACCTCACTTTTTCAAGGTTTTCTGAGAATTTGCATATAACCTTGTTAAGCAAAAAATTGCAGTTTCTTTATTTAGCGCGATATTTTTTTAACGTGGAGCCAAAGCATCATTTTTTGCATTATCGGGGGGCAAATTTTTAACCCAGATGTGCTTAAAAAGCAAACATTTACATTTTAATAGTGCTTCTAGCAAATTTTGACTATCAAAATTTTGAATCCTATCAAAAAGACCCCTAAAATGTCCAAAAACCTAAAAATTTTTGTCGAAATGGACAGTTTTTGTCCGAAGAATCTAACTTTTTGGATTTGTTATGAAAATATTGTAAATTTTTCGCGTCGAAAATTAAGAAGAAATTATATAGAAAAATTTCCGCTATTTATACTAATCAAATCGAGCCCTCAAGTAAAAAATTCCCTACCCCCCGGTAATGCGAAAGCACCATTTTATACCCTATCCTCTATTTTTCTATTTTTGGAAATTTACCACTCATATGTATTCCCTTTTTCTTAAAATGTTCTCTTTCCAAATCTCAAAAATTGGAAAAACCCGCTAAAACTTTTTTTTTGCAGCTGTACACGGGCGATGCGCATCTGACCGGTATCTCCAATCGCCAGAAGAGACCTCAATATCGCCAGAGGCCATCTCGTACAAAGCAACGAACTGTGATCGTCCCCGAAGCCGGAAATCAACCTTGAAGCTCCGGGACCCCCAAAAGCTATCTCGTCGCCTTCCCATCCCCCTCATCCCCCCTTTGATCTCAACTGCCTTATCCGCATTTGCTCAACCCCACGTTAACGTCTCCCAAACGACACTCACGATTCGACATGGCAGCCACCAGTGACCAACAACAGCATATGGCTGTGATGAATATGCTGAGTGAGTTTTAGAAAATATGCAACGTGAAAAGTTGGAAACCTAGCAGCCGGAAAAAGCTGTAAAACAAAAATTTCGCACATTTCTAGAAAACTTGCGGACGGCCGTATCTTTTCTTTTTTTACCAAACTTTCTTGGTTCTTTAACGCATTAAACCATAGCCCTATTACGCAATTTCTATCCTGTGCTAGAAGTTTTTTTCTTATTTTATAAGGAAGAAGCGCCCAGATTTCTTTGCTAACCAAAGACTGTGTAACTTGGGTTCTCTAAATTAGACTAAGCCAAATTAAACTTACCTAGGTTTAAAGACACACCTAACCCTCTTGTTCCAAATAACTTTTGTTATTTATGAGGGGGAAATGACCCGAAAACTTTCTAAATATCGAGAGATAGCAGGAAGTTTTATTTTCAACCGATTGTTTTGAAATTTCTGGTCTTTTATCGTGGGGCTGAAAAAGGCTAGAAACTAAATAACTCTCTCTTTTCCCTAGAGACCAAACCTCAAAGCTAAATTCACCCACAATTTCTTCGTTATGGCAACGCTTATGCAGTGCAAATTACCCCAGGCGTATCCTCCGGAAATTAGCCAAAAACTAGAACGTCAACCTAGCTGCAAAAGACCCTAAAACATGCATCGTCAACTACACAAAAATTAAGACGACAAAAACCAAAATTATCCGACTATAAGACCTCAACTATAAATATTTAATCCCCCATTTTAAGGCGACTTCAACATCGGCGACCACCCGATCGCCCCGTTCATGCAGACCGGCATGCCGGCGCCGCTGTTCGGCGGTGGACCGGGAGGGCTGGCCCAAGGCCAATTCATGCAGAACCCCCAGCAGCCCTTCCAAAATCCTCAAGGGCAATCGATGCAGGTTCGTGTATGAAGAAAACTTGTATTAGGACCATCATGATTCTTTTCTGCTTTGACTTCGTGATTCCGACTAAAAAAGTCAAATAGTTTCCATTTGCTTGTCGGATCGGTAAGCAGGACCGACGTATCTGTTAGTGTGTAGTGTTATCATATCGTGTAGTTAGAGATAGAGCGTGATCAGTGACGGAAACTGTCCATCAGTGCGCGCAGGGTCACTTCCGTAACCAGCAGATGTGGTGGAACTTCGATAAGAACCGAAAGACCTTGAAATTATCTAAAATCTCCACTATTTCCAAAACTTTCACCAATAATCTGTCTAATGTTGCCCCAAGACACGCTGGATTTTGGGTACCGACATCCCGGTCCTTGCCTGATTGCTGTAGGTTTAAAAGGCCGTTTGTGAGCCAACCGAACAGAGCCTGGCACAGCATTTTTGCGACCCATTTTTTTTGACGCTATGTGAAAGAGCATGGTCGAATTAGTAAGACTGCATGGTTTTGAGATTTTTAAAAGTTCATTTTTGGGGTTTAAATGACCGTTAAAGTCGTTCACCCCAAAAAATTATCTTTGAAGTTACTTAACCAAATTTGCTGAAAATTTGTGTTCATACCTAATTTGGCGCGGGGATCATTTTTCTAATACATTGTTAAGCCCGAAAATCACCGGAACATAGGAATCTCGCGTACTCAGAACAGTTTTTCAAAATTTTCGATTTTTTAGAGTGTTGCCTGTAACGTGACAATAACATAGAAAGATGCGCAAAAATTTTCTGCATCGAGTGTTGTATTTTCTAGAGTGCAGTGAACACTCTAAAAATTACAAAAATGGCCTTGATTCCAGCCAAAAATAAAAAATTTGATCCGGTGTGGAGGGAAAAGCATAGATTTGTATCTACTGCCCAAATCACGGCGAATGCAAAAAAAGAGCAAAAAGAAATTCGGCTTCTAAGAGGGGGCTGGAATTGAACTCGGGTCGTTCGCCTGGGCGGCGGCGGCGCCCTCTAGCCTCTGTCCCCAGAGCCCCCCAGGCGAGCCATCGCGAGTTCGATTCCAGTAACTCGTTAGTTTCTCTTAGAAAAGGAATTTATTTTTCCAATTTTTTGTATTAGGTCGGGAATTATCTCAAGAAGGCATGCACAAGCCTGTTTTCTATAATACACAGGCGTCTTCGACGTACAGGGCTACTTTCACATTTAAGAAACTGTTATTTTTGCAATTTTTAGAGTGTTCACTGCACTCTAGAAAATACAACACTTGATGCAGAAAATTTTTGCGCATCTTTCTATGTTATTTTCACGTTACAGGCAACACTCTAAAAAATAGAAAATTTTGAAAAACTGTTTTGAGTACGCGAGTTTCCTATGTTCCGGTGTTTTTCGGGCTTAGCAATGTATTAGAAAAAAGATCCCCGCGCCAAATTAGGTATGGACACAAATTTTCAGCAAATTTGGTTGAGTAACTTCAAAGATAATTTTTTGGGGTGAACGACTTTAACGGTCATTTAAACCCCAAAAATGAACTTTTAAAAATCTCAAAACCATGCAGTCTTACTAATTCGACCATGCTCTTTCACATAGCGTCAAAAAAAATGGGTCGCAAAAAACTGTGCCAAGCCCTAATGGGGTCTGTTCGAGTGACCCGCGGATGGTCTTTTAACTAGGAAGATAACGGGTGTAAAATCCGAAAAAAGATAATCTAAGCAATGGTTATATTTTGGGTTGTATAAGCCTAAGCCTAAGCCTAAGTCAAACAGAGTATCATGGTTTTGCAGGAGATGTTCGCCAACCAGGCCCCGATGTCACGTGTCGGCGGCGGCGGCCAGCCCTACGAGCAGCGCCAGACGAGCCTGGCCCCCGGAGGCCCCATCGGTGGACCATCCGGCCAGGATCCGTCCGCCCAACAGGGCAGCTCCCAGGGCCATCCAGCTCAGGCCGGACTTCCAGCGTAGGTTTTGCTTCGTTTTTATGCCTAAGAAGGCAAAAGCAATAGAGTAGCGATTTCTTAACTTGCTATTTTTTTAATATTTTTGATTTGTTTAAATTTTTTAAATATTGCTGCAAGTAGTTTCTGAGTGGTTTAGGATGATTTACATATTTTTAGAACCCAAGGCAGCGGCATCTCGTTCCAATGCCCCAAACGCCCGGGCCAGGGAGTCGAGGGTCGCCCGATCATGCTCCGCGCCAACCACTTCCAAGTCAGGATCCCCGGCTGCAACATCCACCACTACGCCATCGACATTCAGCCGGACAAGTGCCCGCGTCGTGTGAACAGGTTTGCAATTTTCAAGATATCCTACTAGTAAGGAAAACCAATTATAAAAACAAACAAACATTTTTATCATTTTGGATCCGTGAAAAGCAAAAATCGAAATAGAAATCAAAAATTTACGCGTTGTTAAAATCAATAAAAACTCGTAGAACCCTCCTGTTTCAGAGACATCGTCCAGGCGATGATCGGCAACTACCAGCGCAGCTTCCACCCGGTCATCCCCGTCTACGACGGCAAAAAGAACATGTACACCAAAGAGATTCTGCCCCTGGGCCGTGAACGCGTCGATTTTGACGTCATTCTCCCCGGGGATACCGCCGTCGACCGGCAATTCCGCGTCACGGTCAAGTGGGTCGGCCAGGTGTCGCTGTCTGTGCTCGAAGACGCGATGGAGGGACGCGTTCGCCAAGTTCCCTTCGAAGCCGTTCAAGCCATGGACGTCATCCTCCGCCACTTGCCGAGCTTGAAGTGAGTGCTTTTTAGGTCTAATTTTTGGGAGCTTTTGCGTTAACGGGTGGGGGGGTTGAAATCAAAGGCGTTGAAAATAAAATCTAAATTTATCAATTAAAATTAATGAATTTTTTTTAGATACACCCCAGTGGGCCGCTCATTCTTCACTTCTCCTCAACACCCACACAACCCGCCCCAGCACGGCCAATTCCAAACCGAGAGCAAGCTGGGCGGCGGCAGAGAAGTATGGTTCGGTTTCCATCAGAGTGTTCGCCCCAGCCAGTGGAAGATGATGCTCAATATCGACGGTATGTTTTTAAGGTCAATGTTAGCACAACTACCTACGCCTAAACCTAAGCCTGAGCCTAAGCCTAAGCCTAAGCCGGAGCCTAAGCCGAAGCCTAAGACTAAGCCTAATCGTAAGCCCGAACCATAGCTCGTTTTACAAACTCAACTGAATTCCGAATTTTCAGTCTCCGCCACGGCCTTCTACCGCCAAATGCCGGTGATCGAGTTCATCGCCGAGGTGCTCGAGCTCCCCGTTCAAGCCTTGGCCGAACGTCGCGCTCTCTCCGACGCGCAGCGCGTCAAGTTCACCAAGGAGATCCGCGGGCTGAAGATCGAGATCACGCACTGCGGGCAGATGCGCAGGCGGTATCGCGTATGCAACGTTACCAGGCGTCCGGCGCAAACTCAGGTGTGTTATTGAAACTTCGTTTGGTATCATTATTCTATCCTTAATTTGCCGAATTTATTGTTTACCTGAGAGGAGCTTCAAATAGACCATAATAATCTTGACCTAAACAAATTAAAGTTATCGTTAAATTTACGAAATTACCTTAATTTTTAGACGTTCCCGCTGCAACTCGAGACCGGCCAAACGATCGAGTGCACCGTCGCCAAATACTTCTACGACAAGTACCGAATCCAGCTCAAGTACCCGCATTTGCCGTGTCTGCAAGTTGGCCAGGAGCAGAAGCACACCTATCTGCCGCCAGAGGTGAGGAAGAGTTCATGAAATTGGAGATTAAAATTTGAAATTTTTGAAACACCCGGTTTTTTGTATTTTTTCTTAAGAAACACTATTTTTAGGTCTGCCAAATTGTCGCCGGACAGCGCTGCATCAAGAAGCTCACCGATACCCAGACGTCGACGATGATCAAGGCCACCGCGAGGTGATTACTTTTCCGTCGAACCGTGGCGTAACATAATTTAACGGAGCGTAACTTAATGTAACGTAACGCAGCACAATGTAGCGTGATGTAGCGTAAAGTGCCTTAACGCAACGTGGCTCAACATATTGGGTAGTGGAACCAGATTAATGTCGCGTAGTGAAGCGCAACGTAACGCAGCGTAGCGCCACGTAGCGTGACGTATCTTATTACGTATGGCGCAGCGTACCGTAAGTTAGTACAGTTTAACGCAGCGTAAGCGCAGCGTCATATAAAGTAGCGTCACGTTAACGTTAACATATCGTAACGTAGCGCAGCATAGCGTAGCGTAGGGCAATGCGATGTGACGCGGTGCAACGTAGAACGTAGTGTAAAGTAGTCCACCGTAGTTAGAACATAACACGATACACGCACGTAACCCTACGATTCCCCGCTTAATAAATATATTTTCCTCTTACAGGTCCGCCCCAGAGCGTGAGCGCGAGATCAGCAGCCTTGTCCGCAAAGCCGACTTTGCCGGCGACGCTTACGCCCGCGAGTTCGGAATCGCCATCAACTCGCAGATGACCGAAGTCAAGGGCCGTGTCCTGTCCGCCCCGAAGCTCCTCTACGGCGGCCGCACCAAGGCCACCGCCCTCCCCAACCAGGGCGTCTGGGACATGCGCGGAAAGCAGTTCCACACCGGCATCGACGTCAAGGTGTGGGCCATCGCCTGCTTCGCCCAGCAGCAGCACGTCAAGGAGAACGACTTGCGCAACTTCACGCAGCAGCTGCAGCGCATCTCCAACGACGCCGGGATGCCGATCATCGGCCAGCCGTGCTTCTGCAAGTACGCTGTCGGTGTTGATCAGGTGGAGCCGATGTTCAAGTACCTGAAGCAGACGTTTAACGGGATCCAACTTGTCTGCGTCGTCCTCCCCGGCAAGACCCCGGTTTACGCCGAGGTCAAGAGGGTCGGAGATACGGTTCTCGGAATTGCCACCCAATGCGTGCAAGCGAAGAACGTCATCAAGACGACGCCACAGACCCTGTCAAACTTGTGCCTGAAGATGAACGTCAAGTTGGGGGGAGTCAACTCGATCTTGCTCCCCACTGTGAGGCCGAGAATCTTCAACGAACCGGTCATTTTCCTGGGATGCGACATCACTCATCCTCCAGCAGGAGATTCTCGAAAACCCTCAATCGCCGCAGTCGTCGGAAGCATGGATGCCCACCCCAGCCGATACGCAGCGACTGTCCGCGTCCAGCAGCACCGCCAGGAGATCATCTCCGACCTGACGTATATGGTGCGCGAGCTGCTCGTGCAGTTCTACCGGAACACGAGGTTCAAGCCAACCCGGATCATTGTCTATCGCGATGGTGTCTCGGAGGGCCAGTTCTTCAACGTGTTGCAGTACGAGTTGAGGGCGATGCGTGAGGCGTGTATGATGCTGGAGCGCGGGTACCAGCCTGGAATTACGTTTATCGCTGTGCAGAAGCGCCATCACACGAGGCTGTTTGCGACGGAGAAGAAGGATCAGGTGAGCACGAGTTTTTAGACATGAGAAAAGTTTTGTTGAGTTTTTAACTAGTGAGATCAAGCTCGAACGCCTAAAAAATCAATGCAACATTTTCCAGGTCGGCAAGGCGTTCAACATCCCACCCGGCACCACCGTTGATGTTGGCATCACCCACCCGACCGAGTTCGACTTCTACCTCTGCTCGCATGCTGGTATTCAGGTAAGAGAGAAAGAGACAGAAAGGAGAGAGATAGATTGTAAGAAAGCGAGATCAAGGCTAAAGTTCCTTTTTCCAGGGCACTTCCCGTCCCTCGCACTACCACGTCCTCTGGGACGACAACAACATGACGGCCGACGAGCTGCAGCAGCTCACCTACCAGATGTGCCACACCTACGTGAGGTGCACCCGCTCGGTGTCGATCCCCGCCCCGGCCTACTACGCCCATCTCGTCGCCTTCCGCGCCCGCTATCATCTCGTGGACCGTGAGCATGACAGGTTGGTTTTTTAGGAAATTTTGAGAAAAAAAGAAATTAGAAATTTCTGGTTTGGTTTTCAACGGTCCTTTAAAAGTTTGAACCCCTCGAATGCGCTTTTTCAGTGGCGAAGGCTCGCAGCCGTCCGGCACCTCCGAGGACACGACCCTGTCGAACATGGCGCGCGCCGTCCAGGTCCACCCCGACGCCAACAACGTCATGTATTTCGCCTAATTCTTTTCTTGGTACTATTCCTCTACCCTAATTGGCATTTTCACCTACGTAATTTCCTCTTTACGCTGTGTATTTCCATTTTTTTGTGTTTTTTTTGCCCACTCATCCAGTTCTTTCTCCCCGCAGCCGCACACTCGGATCCTTGTCAAAAATGGCCTTTAGACGTTTTCAAATTTTACAAATTTCCCCATTTTTTCTGCCCGCCCCAAACACTCTCAACTCGGATTACGGTACCACCCTAGGGACACTTGTCAGCAAATTTACATTTTTTGTTATATTTTCTCTGCGCCGCGAGACTTCAGCCACCCTCACTTACTACTACTGTATTTTTCCTGGGCTATAGGCTACGTTATACGCCCCCTTACACCCTCCTTAAAACCCCAGAAATTTGAGCAAAACTTGTGTTATTACCACCGCCGCATGTTGCTCAAGTTCCCCTCCTTCTACCCTATCGAATTGGACCCTAAAATCAGCCCCACCCTACCGCTTCTCTTGCGTTTTGGACGTACGTACCACTACGCACGTACGTACTTTAAATCTAGCCCCTCATCACTCAGCTGTTAGCTCTCGATAAATTGTGATACCTTTTATCTTTCGGCGCCGAACCACCACTGCTACCCTGAAATTACGACCCTGACCCTGTTGGGCGTGTCGGGAGGAAAGTTGCGGAACAAAAAAGGAAAATGAACAGAAAAGAGGATTGTTAGGCTAAATTCGATACCTTTTAATGCCTGGCACCCAAAACCAATTTAAGATTGAAGTATAATACTTTTGAGCCAACCTAGGAAACCCAAATCTGAATGACTTTTAAGGAAAAATGGAAAAAGCTATTCATTTTGAGGAAAAGTACTTCCATGCGGTTTCGTACGCATGGTTACGATACCTTTTAATTCTTAAAACGGAAAAATCTGATCGATTTTGAAGAATAATACCTTAACAACCTAATAAGCTGAATTTTGATGCCTTTTCATGCTTAAATTTGAAATTCCATTAATCTTGAGCTATAATAATTAAAAATGCTACATTTTTCCGAACTTTTCCGCAACTTCCGCCCGACTGCTCTCAATTCCGAGTACGCTACCCACCTCCCAACACCGCGCTTTTCTTGAGAACCCTGCCGTCCTAGCCTTTCCTCCGTCTAACAAGCCAAGTTCTGAAGCTTTTCGCGACCCGGCACCCTAATCTCCTCCTTAAAAAGACCGAAATTTGAGAACTGCCCTTTTTGAGAATTCCTCCAATTCTGCTGATCCCTCCGATGACGCTACTAAATTCAGCGTGCTGCCGCCCGCCCGCCAGATAGCTCTTTCCTGTTTTCTTTTGCGTACTGAGAAAGGCGCCGTAATTTTTTTGTCGGATTTTTCAATGATTTTTAAGGTATGGGATGGTAGTGCGGAACGTTAGAATATCGATTTTGAGCTCGAGCCCAATTTTTGCAACATTTTTGACGCTAAACCTCTATTTTTAAACGCTTAGACGTAATTTTAACGTTCCTTCGCGCAACCATCACAGCCCTGCATTAACTACCCTAAAAAGCGCCCCCACCTACCGTAGCCCTCGCCCCGCGGCCCGCCCGGCCCTCATCTCCTCAACGGTCGACCGCTTCCCTGCAGCAAGCTGGCCCAGGCCCCACCCGTATTGGTACGGGGAGCAGGGACCAGGGCTTCGGGGCCCAGAAAACCTCATTTTAGCTCCTGACCCTAAATTGTGACCCTAATAGACACCGATTTTGGGGGTGGGCGACTTGGAGATGAGTTTTCGGCAAAAAGCAAAAAATATCGGCACCTGGGATCGAACCCGGATCGTTCGCCTGGCAGTCTATCCACTTAGCCACTGAGCTATCATCCAAAAATCCATTTTTTGCTTAAAGACGTGAAAAACCGTATATCCAAGTCGCCCTCCCTAACCGCCATCCAATCCCCGTCAGCCTTACGAATCCCTTTAAAATCTTCGACATTTAACCTTTTCTTTCAATCCCATTTACCATACCCCCAGTATTCCCTCTAATTCCTTCAACTCGCGACATCGCCAAACGCCCAAAAGTCCTTTCGCTCTTTTCCAGAATAAAAAGCTTCAAAAAAATAATTAGCCACCCTCAATACTTTTGCCCTGCCAGTTCTTGACCCCAAAAATGAGCCTTGCACCGGGTTACGGTAATTCTCCGGGGTACGGTGCCTTACAAAAAAAAAATCGATTTTTGGTGACTACCGTACCTGAGATACCGTAGACCTTCGAAAACTTGCTACAGAAGTCTCTCCTTCCCTAGCATATCATGCCCCTCCCACTGCGGAAATCTGATTTTTTTGGATATTTTTGAGGTTACTGTAATTTTTTGAATTTTGTGGAGCCTAGGTTAAGCCTAAGCCTAAGCCTAAGCCTAAGCCTAAGCCTAAGCCTAAGCCCCAGCCTAAGCCTAAGCCTCAGCCCACCCCATCCACCTTCATCTTTCGTTGATCGGTGTGTCATTTTTGGTAGCCCTATAATCCCCTCCTCCCGATTACGGTACTCTTACAAACACACAGATGCAAGTTGGGTTCTCTCAATTTCTCTTCTTCCCTTATTTTCCTTTTTTGTTGTAATGTAGACATGCTCTCTTTCGTGGCGAATAAAGAGATGTTAAAAATCGAGATTTACACAAAATTGCACTGATATTAGGCAGAAAACAAAATTACAGAAAAATGAAGACTGTTCGGCTCGAAAAAACTTGTTGTTACTTTACAAAAACGATACAGTAATTCGAAAACTTCAAATTGGAAGCCGCTTTCGGAAATGCAATTTAGGATTTTTATGTTTCTGTGGAATTTAAAAATTGCATAAAGACTAACGAAGCTGCGCTTTCTCTATATTTTTAGTTTTTGGGAATTTTGAAATTTACTAAGAGCTATTGGGCAAAAACCATGCGCTTTTTTGCCTATGCCTTTTTTGTGTACCCTGATTAAAAAGTTGGAATCTGCTGAGAAAAACGGAAACACTTTGTCCTTCGGATAAATCGCAATTGCTTCAGAAACTTAGAATTCTACCAATTTAAAACGTTTTCGGCAATAAAACATGCGCGTTTTGTGTATGCATTTTTTGCAGAAGCGCCACTTAAGAACCTGATAAAAGTGAAAGTTGATAAAAACTGCGTGTATCCTGAAATTTTCTTGCGGACTTGCGTTTTCCGGCGGCAAAAACATTTTCGGTAGCAAGACACGCGCTTTTCTTGAAGCAGCTCTCTCTAAATCGATTAGAAAAAACATGTAAAAGCGGACTTCGGCCCAAAACCAGAGAAATGCCAGCTTTCTTATCCCTTTGTTATTTCAGAATCTCGACATTTTCCGGGTGCAATTTTTTTAGCATTTTCAACACATTGCAGAACATGCGCTTTTAGCTTTGCAATTTCTCAAATCTTCATTTTCTCACGTTCCAGTTTTTTTTCCGAAACTTGGAAATTTATCAGTTTCACAAAAATTTTTTGGCATTAAAACATGCCCTTTATCTGTATTCAGTAATCCACAAGTTCGCATACCCGTATATATTTATTCAGCAACGGAAATGAGAGAGAAATCGACAATCGGCGTCAGGGGGAGGGGCGTCGGATCGACAAAGAAACTCATGTGCACATGCACGAAACACGGGGGGAGTAGCGAGTTCGAGTACATAGTGATAGCGAAATGGGATTTTGTGTTTTTTTTGTGTGTGCGGTCAGTCTTCATCGCGCAGCTCAGTTCGTCGGATTCGCCATCAACTCAATGTAATCCTTTTCGAATTTGGCGATATCATCGTCACAAGATTCGTCCAGCAAACCCATCTAAATTTTCAAAATTTGCCGATATTGTAAAATTAGATATATCTCGCTGCATATCAAAACGTCTTTGTTCCTTGGGTACAAAACGTTAAACAAATTTTTATAACCTCATGCCACTCAAAAATTATTAACAACCTTGTGAAAATACACTTTTATTCTTAATAGGTAGGTATTCGCGGATAAGTGAAAATTAACTCCCCCCAACGGGAAGAACCAAAACATCGAGAACCTACCGCGCGAAATAATTTGAGGAGCACCATGTGCACGTAGAGGTACTGTTCCGGCGTCTGCACCAACTTCGCGCGCTCCTTGCGCATCTCCTTGATGATGTCGAGCAGGTTGGTGAAGGGCTAAAGATGTGTTTCAGTAGATCTTCTTTTTTAAATGGTTTTCTCAATCCATCTCAAACTTCACCAGGGCGCATTAATAGGAAATCTCTATAAGTCGCTGCGCGACCGGGCTGGCGGGTTATCGCATAATTCTCGTAGACCAGCGAAAAATTTTCACCCACCACTCCACATTCGATGGCGTGAAGGACGTATTGGATGACGGCGGCAACCCCGGAGCGTCCGATCCCGGCGGAACAGTGGATGACGATGGGGCGGCTAGACGACAGGGTGTTCAAAAAACACACACCACAACTCGGCGCAGAAGGATCGAATGGGAATGCCATTTACATCATTCGAAAGAAGCTTTTGTACCGACGCATTTGAAGCAGACTTCAGAACCAGATTTTGGCCCGACGCGGTGTGTTAGAGGCTATGTAAAATATTAAGGGCACGCTTCTGCGGCTAATTCCTGACGTCTGCCTGTAATTTTGCTTGGAGAACTGGAGGCGAAAATCCAGAAAATTTTACAAAAAATGCTTTCAAAGTTTCGCTTTTTAAAATTAAAATAAACCTGTTTTTGAAGGATTACCTATCAGAATCTCAAATATTTTTGACAAGACGCCCTACCCGGCGGCGGGTGCGAAATGCCGCAACAGCTTTGGGAGCGCCAAATCGACCACGGGCACCCCACGATCCGGCCAGTGCAACCAATGCTCATGTGTCAGTTGGTGCACAACCTTTCCACCCTCTTCGATTTGGAAGTAGGACTCGACAACCTCGGCAGTCGTCTCGCATGTGAATTTCCTCTAAAAACCGACTTTTCTGCGGAAACTTTTTTGGACGACTACCGCTCAGTAGTGTCGGACAGCACCCCGAGAAACGCACCCCGGGTGCCTTTGAAACGCACCCCAGGGGGTCTTTGAAACGCACCCGGGGTGCCTTTCAAACGCACCCCGGGGTCTGTTTGAAACGCACCCCGGGGTGCGTTTGAAAGACACCCCTCTCCGTCGGGGGTGCATTAATAGTGTCCCCGGGTGCCTTTGAACGCACCCCGGGGTGCGTTTCGGGGTGCGTTTGGGGGTGTGTTTTGGGGTGCGTTTCGCCCCACAGGTTGCAAAGAATAGCAGGGAAAGCCGATAAATAAAAGTATATTTGGCATAAGAATATTACAGCTGTGTTTTATGATGCTTTCTATACACAACTGATGCCATCTGGCTTTCAGTAAGATATATTTGATGGCCTGTGTTGGAGTTTTAAAAGAATTCTGATACGATTTTCATTTTTTATTGGGCTTACAATGTTTTTGCTCATACTTTTGGAAAAAGTATGGAAATTATTTATGGGATTGCCAAAATGGAAGAGATAAAAATTAATAGGAAGCAGCTATAGTATGAAATACGGCAGGAATGGCATTTTGGAGGGTTTATAAGGTTTTATAAAGGTTTCTGTAATATTCCTATGCCAAATATACTTTTATTTATCAGCTTTCCTTGCTATTCTTTGCAACCTGTGGGGCGAAACGCACCCCAAAACACACCCCCAAACGCACCCCGAAACGCACCCCGGGGTGCGTTCAAAGGCACCCGGGGACACTATTAATGCACCCCCGACGGAGAGGGGTGTCTTTCAAACGCACCCCGGGGTGCGTTTCAAACAGACCCCGGGGTGCGTTTGAAAGGCACCCCGGGTGCGTTTCAAAGACCCCCTGGGGTGCGTTTCAAAGGCACCCGGGGTGCGTTTCTTGGGGTGCTGTCCGACACTACCTCTCAGAACCGTGATATTTCCAAATATCGAATTTGCAGCATCTCAAAAATTTAAATTTCGATTTTTCAGAATCTCGAATTTTCAGAATCGCGAAAATTCCATAGTATGAATCAACATTAAAATCTGCCGGATTGCATGCTTACGCCCGGCAAATTGCAGCCTATGCAAATTGCGAGATTCTGAAAATTCGAGATTATGAAAATTCTAGGCTATATCGAGAGAAAGAAAAACGGATCAGGCGCCGAGTCGAGTGGGAAAATTCGAGATTCTGGCTTTCTATTTTTGCTAGATTCTTTTTTGACACCCTGTGATGCCCGGCGAAGCTTCCCTTCAACTTGGCAATCTACCATTGATTCATGTATTTCGAGTCGAAGCACTGCTTGGATTTAGAAAATGTGCAAGTTTTGGTAAGTGTCAAACGTGCTTGGTTCGAAAATGAGCATAAATCTCGCATTTTTCTGACTCAAACTTTTCTGAAGAAGACTCACGGCTGCCTGTGACATTAAGGTGACGGTGTAGACGCCGATCTGCATAGGCTCATTCTTGTGGTCTGGGAAGTATTTGGCGCACTTCGGCATGCCGCTTTCGTAGAAGTCGCATAGCTGCAAGATGACCTGCACGCCTTGTTCGACGCACATCCTAAATTATTCATATTTTTATACTATATAATAAATTAGACGATTTAAAAATCGGCCCAGAAAGCAGTCAAGCGCTTGGGTAGGCACCGATACACATAGCATAGCGGGGCGGGGGGTACTCATCAGCCGCAATAAAAATAGATTTTAATGTGGTCTTGCCGGCCATAGGAAAAAGCCCGTAGGATATTTTTAGGGCTTGTGTCGAATGGGGTTCTTTAGGATTCGCGGGGGGGGGGGAACCAAAATTTTTTTCTGGTGTTCCCGGTTGACCTAGTAATCCTACCTTATATAATTTTGGCGTGTATCTTTGTGTGTGTGTGTGGATGTCAGTTTCGAGGCCCGATTTGAGGGCCTTCCCGTGCATAAAATGCTCCAATTCTCCGTCACTTGGGGAAATCGACCCTTCTGTTTTCAATGGCGCTTTCAGAATTTTGATAAAATACAAGTTTACAAAGTTAAAGCCGGTTTTACTCATTTTTGGGGGTAATTTGCATAATGTGAAAAAATAGAAATTTCTCCATTCTTGCAAGTTGCACGCGCGCGTGTGGTCGGCCGGGGGGAGGGGGGTCCGAAGGACCCGAGCTATCGGAAAGTCAAATTTCTTATGCAAAGGCCGCATTCCAGCGCCCAAGGCCCGCGAAGCGGGTTTTGGGCGCTGGTCAAATATAAAATGATTTTGCCTTGTTTTTAATAGACTTTAGTTATATTTAACATAGAAAAACTTTCAAAAAAGTTAGAAAGTGTTTCAAAAGTCGAAAATTTGGTCATTGGGTCCCCCGCGAAGCCTAAAGGTTCTATAGAATAGTGCCACCTAAAATTAAATTTTTAATTAAAATTTGTGTAGTTTTATGCTAAGTGCTAGCTAAGTTTTATGCTATAGTAAAAAAAAGTTAGAAACGCATGCGGGATTTATAGAAAAATTTAGGCTGGTGCCAAAAAAATTTGTTTTTTTACCCCCCCGCCCAGATAGTGTTCGGCAATTTGCCCGGTCCGGTTTTCGGGCCAAAACCGGACCGGGCAAATTTCCCAACACTACGCCCAGGTGAAATTCTACCCCGGCTGGTGCCGCAACTGCCCTAAACTGCATTTTTGGCTCCTAGTCTCTTGATAGATTTTTGACGGACTTCCCAAAAAGTTCAGAAATTTCCCTCTCCCCTTCTCTTATGTGCTCAACTCAGTTTCCAAAAAATTTTACTGTATTTTATAAAAAAGCTCCCTTTAATTTTTTCGGGTTGTTATCAAGCACCCGAGTATATTTTTCGACGCTCTATCGATTGGCGCAGGCGAAATGCCACAATTTATTTAAACATTCAAAAAAGAAGCGCCCGCCCCCGTTATCCTCTGTGTACAAAGGAACCTCCAAAAATCTTCGCAGGTGCCCGTTTCCGGCTTTTCGGTTTCATCCTTGTTCTTCTTGGCGGGCAGCGGCCCTTGTGTGAGAATCATGTTGTCCGAGCCTTTCGCCGTTGTGACATAATTCGCATGGATGTAGTCGTTTTTGTCCGGGCGGCCCCTCAGCCGGACTCGTCCCTTGTCCAAGCATTTTGTGTCCTTGTACCGGTTCTTCTTGGGATTTTGTGTGCACGCGTCGTGACTTCGGGCAATCTCTGTCATGGTCCCACTGATTCAAAAATTGTAATAGCCGCCAAGAATCACTTACGTTTTGAACTCGGCGAACTTCGCCAATATTCTTTTCGGTCCCAAAGCAATCCAGTCCTCGTATGCGCCGCGGGCTATCGAGGATGGTGAAGGTTTCGCCCGGTCCGTGACTGAATTCCGAGTGGTTTGCCGCGCGAAAAGTACCCGTAGCGTTGCCGCGTGCTTGTTTCGCGTCTCCGGCGCCCGGGCCGTCCTTCGGTGTCTCTCTGAATGTATTTGGTATCTTACACCCGATGTCCAATGTATGAAAATCGGCTTTAGTTCATCTTAGGTGGCAGAAAAAAATGCATAAATTTCAGAATGTCTGAATTGCCTGATAAAAGGTCATAATGTCGAACTCTAGGCTGCCGGGGGGATCAACTTATTCTTACGTTCCAATTTTTTTGCGAGTTTTAGTAAGTTTTAGTAATAAGTGTTTGTTAGTGTTACGTTACGAAAACAATGTTAATATAGGCACTAACAGGAATTGTTAGCCATTGCTGGACCAACAGGAAAAATATGCGGTCCAACAACAAAGGCATTAGTTTAGGCCTAAACTACCAGATGTCTTGTGCAAAATGAAGCATACGCGGTTGAAGCTGGCGAAGCCGCCTCCGCGACGCTGCCGTCCTTCTCCGAGGCTGCCTTCGTGCTGGCCGGGGTTTGCTCATCCGTGGAAACGCCATCCGGGGAAGGCGTTGGGGCGGGGTCCTCCGCGCTGACTGGCTTCTTCCCGCCACCGCGTCCCTTGCAGCAGAACAGCCAGATGAGAAAGGCAATGACGACAACGAGCGCCGCACCTCCTGAAAGCGGAAATTAGACTATTGTCGGTTTAAAAAAAACAGGTTGGCCAGGTTCGCTACCGACCAACGGCTAGAGCGGGGATCAGGTAGTCTGGGCCATTGCTTCCTTCTGGCACGGTCGGTGGAGGTGACGTAGGTTCAGTCGTGCACAGTTCCTGAAAGTACACCGATTTGAAGGAAATCGGATCTGGTAAAGCATAATGATCCTTGTCTACAGTTAATGGTTCTTTCGCATTATCGGGGGACAACATTTTTTTGTAAAAGTGTAGCAGAAAAATTCTAGTAACTTAATATACAGTATTTTAATAAGGCTGTCTTACAAAATCAAAAAAACTAGCTAAATACCTCCAAAAAACATTCCAACAGTCGAATTTTTTCAAAAAAAAGCCGACATAGCTGTTTTTCTTTACTTAGAAATAGTGAAAATAAGCTTAGAAAAACGTTCTCTATTTAGGTTCCAAAAAATCGGAATTTAAGAAAAATTGTTGCCGCCCCCCGTAAATGAAAAAGAACCGAATAATTAGCAAGCCGAAAATCCCATACGATTTCCGCGTCGACGACCGTGCACGAGCGTGGATTGACGCGAAGGTTGATGTCGTCGGGGTAGCGTAGAACTATCGGATTGGTGTCACAGTTCAGGAAATGGTCGGCCTTCACGTAGGAAAGTTGCGGCTCCTGAAAAATGCTGTTTTTTGCGCAAAATCCGAAATTTTCAAACACTTTTCGAAGGTGTTGCCTGAATTTTCCGATACCTGTAAATCCTTGGCCTCGACGCATCGTGGGTATTTGTAGTCCTGGTTGGCGGCGGGTTCTTCGTCACGGCGGGCGCGGGAATTGGGCTGTAGCGGAAATGTTTAAAAAATATTCAAATCCTCACCTCCGTGCTGGGCGGTTTGCTGGTGTCGTCAGCAGTCGTCTCCTCTTTGCCCGCATATTTCAGGCTCTCGGCAGCCGACATCAACGAGGCGTACGGGCCGGACTGCAAAATTCGTATGTGCCGTGTTCAATTTTTCGTAATAAAATATGTATATAATAATATGCATAGATCATCGGATTTAACAGCCTTAAACCCTCACCATCTGCCGATCGAGCACGTAGATCTTGATGTCCGTCTCGTGCTGGCGATCGACAATGTCAAGCACTTGGCATTCAGCGTAGTCGGCCGACGATCCCTTCTCCTTGTAGATGCACGCGTTGACGCATGTCGCCGGCACGGCATCGCTGATCGTCTTCAACTCGGCTGGGACGTTGCTCTCGCTGAAAAACACGAAGATGCAAGCCTTTCGATCCTGATTTACCCGCAGATCGGAGGCGGGACACAGTCGGGTGAATTGGCGGCAGACGAGGAGCCGATCGAGCAATACTACAAAAATTGCTAAAATCAAGCAACATGCCAGCTACCGTAATCTTGGTAGGATTGCTGATGTCATGCCACTCCTTTGGAAATGGGGAAGCATCTGCGGGAATTAGGCCGGCGGCTAGCTGTAGGCTGGGCACGCAGGTCAACGCTGGCTTCGGATCCGCGGAAGTCTCGTGGGCTTGGCGTACAACACTGTAACATACAGATTTTTGCATGTATGAAAATGTTGTAAAACGTCCTGATTTCAACCATCTGATAGACGCACCTCGGTACCATAAAGCCGGCGTCGCATTGCACGAAGTAGGCCGCGCTGCTTTCCACGGCTTTTGGGTTATATGCGGAACGACTCCTGAAAACCGGGCGTAGCAAACAAAAATAGGGCTTACAGAAGCTCAACAGGACACGTTCCCTTGGCCAGCATTTCCCTGGTGCAGACGTTGAACGGCAGCAGCACGTGTTTCTGCTTCCCTGAAACAGAGCGTCGGCGTCTCGGAACTCTAACCACCTCCTCCATCCATCTTATCCTCGAAGACCACAGGCATGGTGCATTTCGGCTGCACGGTGTTGCGCTCCGTTGGAAATTGATCCTAGAGAGTACTCAGGGCGCAACCAAAAAAGATTTTACACAAAAGAATGCGGTCGGGTCGCAAGTGACTTTGGGCCAGATGACCCCCTTCGGCGCAAACGTTTCGGGTTCGGTGCACGGAGCGAGCGGGCATGGTGTGCACTGCAAAGGATACCAGTAAATGGTGCTTCAAGTTTAACGGGAGGGGCGGCCAATTTTGTTGTCCATTCATGTTGATAATAAATACTGTTGGCCATGTTTCCAGTGTTTTTTTATTGCCAGAAAGTCGCAAGAATCATTTAAATAATGTGTGAAAATCGAAATTCTTTGAGCTATTTTCACGCAATCTTGAAAAAAAATAAAATTTTTTGAATAAATTGAGCAATTTTTCATGGTTTTGTTATCTAGGGACGCGTGTAAGAGATGCGTTAAATGCTACAAAAGTGGTTTATATTTCGTTACAAGGCCGTACGGAATTACTGTGTGGTATTGGTTACCCCCGTTAGGCTAGAAGCAAAAAGCGTTGTATTACCTTCTTCTCAAAGGCAGCCGGACGATCGTGCGGCAATCCCTTGGCAGCCAGCCACTCGTAGGTGTAGCAGACGAACGGCCGCTCAACGCATTCCTCATCAGCCGCGAAGCGACGGGCCCGACTTCCAGAAGCAAGCGCCCTGAAAAGATGCAAAAGTGTCATTTCTGAGACAAACTCTCCATGGCTAAAAATCAATAAAAGTTACACGGCATCGGGCGGGTAGGCGACGACCAACAGCAGAAAGATGATGCCGAATCTCAGCATCGGCGATTGTGGAAAGACAATTTGGCCACGTTTGGCCGAATTTTATATGAGCCGTGAAACGCATGTTAATCGTCGATTTGGGATCTTAATCAAGATATGCAAACCGTAAAAGGAAATTTCGCATGCTAAAAATTATGTTATAATCTTCTCTCTCTCTATCTCTTTCTCTCTCTCTCGCTCTCTCTCTCTCTCTCGCTCTCTGGCTTTCTCTCACTCGCCTTCTCTCTTTCTTTCTTTTACTCTCTCTGACTCTCTCTCTTTCCAGTTCTCACTTCCACTCCCTCCCATTCACTCTCCTCTCCCTCTCTCTCTCTCTCTCTCTCTCTCTCTCTCTCTCTCTCTCTCTCTCTTTCTCTGAGCGCGTGAAGAACATTCCTCTAGACCGTTGCCACGAAAAGCCTTTATTACTCGACAAAAACACAATTAGCGGAGGAAACAGGATGAATATGTCGATTTGATGTTTCGGCTATCGTTTCGAAGAGGGCAATGGAGATGGTCAGTGGGCGAGCGGGTAGATGACGTTGTGCATCTCAGGGCGAGTGATGTGGATCTGAAGCGACTGTATCGTGTTTTTTTGCCAACCATAATCACTCCGAAAAGTTGGCGCATCAACCCACCATTCAGACACATCGTTTGTGAGACAGATGTATTTGCGGTGGGTGGCGCTGGGTTGCACTGTCAGACTCGGGCTCCGCTTTCTTAAACAGCTTTTTGATGGTATTTGGGAGGTAATTTTCGATAATTTTTTTGTACTTCTTCTAGACGGTACTTCTAGAAAGGCATTATTTTTTAACCAGAAAAACTATCTAAAAACTTTGGAAAATGGGCCATTTCGGTCGAAGAATCGATAGTTTTTGCATTTTTTTTGACACCGCTGCAAAGTTTTACGTTTAGGAAAAGTTAAAAACGGCCTAGAAACGCTTCCAATATTTATATTGAAAAAATTGGTTCCTAAGAAAAGTTTTCTCTCCCCCCCCCGATAATGCGAAAGTACCAAAAAATGCTCTAGAGCGTGAGTGAGAGAGGACTCTTTTCAATTTTGCTGAAGCTTTCGAGGTTTTGGAGGTCCGGTTTGTCTGGCCAGGTGGCGTACCTTCCATGCGCGAAGAGTCGACTTCCGGGCCGTACGCGCTCTCGCTGAGTGGCTTGACGCGCTCTTGCTTGCTGGCACCGCGGCGCCTGCTGTACACCACCCAGACGAGGGCGGCGATCCCGAGCACCAACAGCAGCACGCCGCCTAAAAATGGGAATCAAACGTGCTTGTCGAGGATAAAATCGGTGCTGGACTGTTATCGGGTGGGGGGGGGGTACTAACCAGGAAAAATACTTTTCGCCTTCCGGTCTTTACCTGTCTGTTGAATTTGAAGTAAGTGGAATGTATTTTTATAGCTTCTTTAGCAGTCTTTGCTTGCTAAAAAAGCTAAAGAATCGGGACATTTTAGCAATTTTTTTGGCCATCTTGAAAAACATTTTGGAAAAAGGAACAAATTTCGATGTTCTAGAAGTTTCCCAATTTTTTACGGCTAAAAACGCTGTAATTGAGCTCGAAAAATGGGTTGGAATTCGCTATAGGGTGGTACCGGATTACTGTCACCCCACTCGCCCTCCCCCCCCCTCGCTAACAGCCCAATACTCCAAAATCAATGACTAGTTAGTGCAAAATACTGACCAATGGACGCAAAAATCGTCCAGACTTTGGAGCTGGCTTGCGATCCCTGCGAAGATAGCTCCGAGGAAGATTGCGACGGGCCTCCGCACAGTTCCTGAAAGTGCGTCAAAATCAAGCGCCGGTGACGAGGGGTGTACTTGTCGAAGACGTTGTCACTCAGCCCAAAATTGGATACCTTTTTCGGGTCAGCGTCACCGCAAGGTCGTGGGATTGCACGGAGGTTGGTGTCCTTCGGGTAGCGGGCGACGATCGGATTGGTGTCACAGTTCAGGAAATAGTCGGCCTTCACGTAGGCGGCGTGCTTTTCCTAGAAAAGGCCTGAACTGACTTGAAAAAGGATACCTTGAGACTCTTGGCTTCGACGCATCTTGGGTATTTGTAGTCGGTGGGGCCGGCCGAGGCGTCGTCTTGGCGACGGGCGCGGGGTTGGGGCTGTTATGACGTTTTGTCGGTACTGGGCTGTTAACGGGGGGGGTAGTCAGGACGGTTCTTTAGGATTTGCGGGGGGAAAGAACCGAGGGGGGAACCATTTTTTTCCTGGCGGTCCCGGTTGGCCCAGTAATCAAATATAAAGTGTTTTGACATTGTTTTTAGTAAGTTTCAACTATTTTTAAGGCAGAACCCCCCCGCTAACAGCCCACTACCGTTTGTCAGCATTGTGGAAATGGTTGCCGCTGAAGAACGCGATTATCATACCTCAATGGTAGACACGTTGGCAGCGGGGCTCGGCTCTGCTGAGCCAGAGACGCTGCTGGCAGCTGCGGTAGTTTCGGTAGCTGCGGTAGTTGCGTTAGTTCCAGTTGTAGCGTTCGATTCCTCAGAATACTTCAGGCTCTCCGCGGCTGACATCAACACCGCATAGGGGCCAGACTGGAAAACAAAGATGAGAAGTGCGCTTCGAGAAGGGGCTGTCTGGCTCTTCGAAAACACCCTCGAAATCTTGTAAAGTCCGACCATTTGCCGATCGAGCACGTACACCTTGACGTCCGCCTCCTTCTCAGGATCGACAACGTCGAGCAGTTGGCATTCAGCGTAGTCGGTCGCCGTTCCCTTCTCCTTGTAGACACAGGCGTTGACGCATGCCGCCGCGACGGCATCGCTGATCGTCTTCAGATCGGCTGGAACGCTGCCCTCACTGAAAACGTTGAGCTTGCGACAGATCAGGTTCAAGTCTACCCGCAGATCGGAGGCGGGACGCAGTCGGCAGCCGATGAACCGATCGGACAATACTAGAAAAGTATACCAGGGAGAATCCAATCGCAATACCGTGATTTTTTCGGGGTCGCCGATGTCGTGCCATTCCTTTGGAAAAGGAGAAGCATCTGCAGGGATCAGGCCGGCGGCTAGCTGCAGGCTGGGCACGCAGGTCAACGCTGGCTTCGGCTCGGCGGAAACTTCGTGTGCTTGGCGTACAGCTCTGCAAAATACCGGGGCTTTAAAATGTATGACAATGTTGAAAAACTATGTGGATTTCGGTCCTGGACTGTTAGCGGGGGTGTAAGGATTCTGAACAGGGGGAACCACTGCTTGTCTTCCTGTTGTTGATATATTATGTATTTTTATAGTGTTTTTAGTGGTTTTTGGTTGCTATAAATATACTAAAAAATTTTTTGAAGAGTCGGTTCTCGTGTATTCCAGGGGGGGGGGGGGAAGAATTCGTGGGGGGGACCAACTTTTTTGTCGGCCCTAAAATTAAATTTTTTAATTATTTTGTAAAGTTTTTTATGTTTAGGAATAGCTGTAAACAGTTTAGAAACACTTCCACTATTTATGTAAAAAATCTAGGCTTGGGCGGAAAAAAGTTCGGTTTCCCCCGGCAATACACAAGAACCGAAGAGTCTGAAGATTCGCAAATTTTGACCTGTTTTGGTCATTGCTCATATATTTTTGAGCAAAAATTCAGAAATATACTTTTTACTACTTTTTTGGATTGTTTTTATGTAAAAACCAGGGTTGAAAAGCCGCTTCGCGACTTTTCAACCCTGGCCCCGTCTGATCCCATGATATTCGGCCCTTTGCATAATTCACGCGATTTTCGATGACAAAAAATGAGAAACGGGACCTCTCTTCTCTTATATAGGCTACCGCAACTTCCGGCGTATGCTAATTGTTTCCTAACAAAGAGGGTCTCGATTTTTCAACAAAAAACTTAATTTTAACATCGAAAACACCGAATTTTTGCAAACTTTATGAGTGTGCAGTCAGCCCAGGGCAAGTACACACCTAATGAGGTGTAATACATACCCCTAACTATCCCCCTTCTTGAGATACTACTGGAACACGCTGACGGAAGTTGCATGCAAATGCACACACATACACACACACACAGACACTATTTTTTTATATATATAGTAGGATGATCTAAGATGCTATACCATCTGTAATATTTTGTTCGGTTAGAGTGCAGTTTACCCCCCCCCCCAGCCCTAACTTTTCAGCCATACGTCCTATTAATGCGCCGAGTATCTCAAAATGTTCGCCGTGGTCGAATTACTATAAAAAAGTTGTTTTCTTACGGCGAAAATTGCTAAAAAAATTTTTACAAGATTTTGAAAGTTGAAAAGATTAAGCCGCTATGCTTCGATGTACTAGGAGTCTAAAACTCAAATATTTTTATTTTCCGCTATTTTTTCGGCTCAAACGTACTGTAGGCTTATTCTCCAGAGCAAGAGCTACATTTTGGTACTATTGACAGCTCTCTACGTCAAAAGATTGCCGAGATACGAAAACTCACTTTGGAACAGCAAAAATTAACTAAAGAAAACCCAGACTTATAATTGTTATAAAAAATTTTCTAACAATTTTTGATGTAAGAAAACAACTTTTTTATAGTAATTCGACCACGGCGAACATTTTGAGATACTCGGCGCATTAATAGGACGTATGGCTGAAAAGTTAGGGCTGGGGGGGGTAAACTGCACTTAAGCCTTTTGTTCTAGGGCCGTAGAAAATCACAGCGGAAAATCTGGGTCCCCCTTACGACCCCACCCCCACCCCCGCTAACACTCCAGTGCCCCGATGTCAGCCATTTTATTAGCGTACCTCGGGACCATGAAGCCGGCGTCGCATTGGACAAAGAAGCCAGGACCAATTTTGACGGCGTCGGGTCGATAGGGCTCGCGACTCCTGAAAAACCGGAACTAGCAAAGCATAGGACTTCTTACAAAAGTTCAACGGGGCACGTTCCTTTGGCCAGCATCTGCCTGTTGCAGAGATTGAAAGGCAGCAG